GTATGATAGTCAATCAGACACCTTTGGAACGCCTTTTTTGGCATTACCCGAAGACAGTATGAAATGTGAAGGGATGGTTTTAATTGCCTCTCTGCTTTGTTCCTGCATACGTAACGTTAAGTTGCCTCATTTAAGGAGAGGGGCCATACTTTTACTCAAGACTTCTTCATTATACATTGATGACGAAGATCGCTTGCAGCGAGTGCTTCCATATGTAATTGCAATGCTTTCTGACCCAGCGGCCATTGTGCGTTGCGCTGCCCTTGAGACTTTGTGTGACATTCTGCCCTTAGTCCGAGATTTTCCTCCAAGTGATGCAAAAATTTTTCCAGAGTATATTCTTCCGATGCTTTCCATGCTTCCTGATGACCCAGAGGAAAGTGTGAGAATCTGTTATGCTAGTACTATAGCTAAGCTGGCTCTAACAGCTTATGGATTCTTGATTCATTCAATAAGGCTAAGTGAGGCTGGGGTTCTTAATGAATTGAATTTGTCACCTAAGTCATTAGCATCATCTAGTGAGTCATCTGGGCACCTCCAGAGGTTAAATAGTGATGCACAGCTGTGCCAACTGAGGAAGTCCATTGCTGAGGTAGTTCAGGAACTTGTAATGGGTCCAAAGCAAACTCCAAACATTAGGAGAGCTCTTCTTCAGGACGTTGGCAACTTATGCTGCTTTTTTGGCCAGAGACAGAGCAATGACTTTTTGTTGCCCATACTCCCTGCTTTTTTGAATGATAGAGATGAGCAACTTAGGGCAGTATTCTACGGGCAAATTGTGTATGTTTGCTTCTTTGTGGGCCAAAGAAGTGTGGAGGAATATCTTTTACCTTACATTGAGCAGGCTTTAGGTGATGCAATAGAGGCTGTTATTGTCAATGCACTGGATTGTTTGGCCGTTCTGTGCAAAAGTGGTTTCTTGCGGAAAAGAATATTGCTCGAAATGATAGAGCGTGTCTTTCCATTGCTAGGTTTTCCTAGTCAATGGGTAAGGAGGTCAGTTGTCACTTTCCTTGCATCTAGCAGTGAGTGCTTGGGTGCAGTAGATTCTTTTGTTTTCCTTGCTCCAGTTATACGGCCTTTCCTACGTCGGCAACCTGCATCTCTGGCCTCTGAAAAGGCTCTTCTTTCATGTTTAAAACCTCCAGTCTCAAGGCAAGTGTTTTATGAAGTCCTAGAAAATGCTAGGAGTTCAGACATGTTGGAGAGACAAAGAAAAATATGGTACAATTCATCAGCACAATCTAAACAATGGGAAATTGCTGATTTGCTCAAGAGAGGTACTGGGGAAATAGACTCATTGAAGTACTGGCCTGACAAAGAACAGTCTACAGGGGGTCATAGACCTATTGATAATGCATTGCAACAATCTGGGCTAATGGAATTTGATGATGATGATTCCAAGTTGAGAGCTTTGGCGGGCCATACACGCAATGCTTCTAGCATAATTGATATGCGTGATCCACTATGCTCAGAGAAGCTACAGTTTTCAGGTTTAACATCTCCACAGCTCAATGGTGTCAACAGTTTCATGTGTGATAAATCGTCAGATGGTATACCTTTGTACTCTTTTAGCATGGACAAGCGAGCAATGGCAGCTCCTCCAGCAGCTTCTGATACTCTTTTGCAAGTAAACTCCTTAGGAATTGGTTCATCTTCCATGCCTTGGATGGATCCAGTTAGTAAATCATTTAGCATGGCTAGTTCAGTTCCAGCGCCTAAGCTTGTTTCAGGCTCCTTCAGTATCACTGGTGGTTCTAAACAGTTCTACAGGGTTGTACATGAACCAGAAAGTCGGGAAAATGATCAAACAACCTATGTTAATAGTAAATTTCAAGATATGGGATTATCTGGTACAATGAAAGGAAGTTCTGTTTCTATTGAAGATGCTTCTGCTTCAACTGATCTTACAGGACTACCCTCCTTTGCTCGGTCTTCATCAATTTCAGACTCAGGCTGGAGACCTCGTGGGGTGTTGGTTGCACACCTGCAGGAGCACCGATCTGCTGTCAATGATATTGCTATTTCAAATGATCACAGCTTTTTTGTGAGTGCATCTGATGATTCCACTGTCAAGGTGTGGGATTCAAGAAAGTTGGAGAAGGATATATCATTTAGGTCAAGACTGACTTATCACTTGGAGGGAAGCCAAGCACTTTGCACTGCAATGCTTCGAAATTCTGCTCAAGTTGTTGTTGGAGCATGTGATGGGACAATACATATGTTTTCTGTTGATCACATCTCTAGAGGTCTTGGAAATGTTGTTGAAAAGTACTCAGGTATAGCTGATATAAAAAAGAAGGATGTGAAGGAAGGTGCAATACTTACCCTTTTGAACTACCCCGTAGATAACTATGGTAGTCAGATGTTTATGTACAGCACCCAAAATTGTGGGATTCATCTCTGGGATACAAGATCAAGTTCAAATGCATGGACATTAAAAGCAATTCCAGAGGAAGGCTATATCTCTTGTCTGGTAGCAGGCCCTTGTGGGAATTGGTTTGTTTCAGGGTCTTCTAGGGGTGTGCTTACCCTTTGGGATTTGAGGTTCCTTATTCCTGTGAACTCATGGCAGTATTCTCTTGTATGCCCTGTAGAAAAGATGTGTCTTTTTGTTCCTCCTTCTAGTGTCTCAGTTTCTACCACTGCTAGGCCTCTTATTTATGTTGCTGCTGGCTGCAATGAAGTCTCACTTTGGAATGCAGAGAATGGGAGCTGTCACCAGGTACACAGGCATATTGCTTCTATTAATTACTATGTCTAAATGTATGTATAATAGCAATAAATGATTTGGAATATTAAGACTGTGCTTGGTAGGAGAAAACATTTGGAGGATGAAAAGTGTTTGGTGGTAAAGAGGAAAGAAAAATGACTTTTAGCAAGCTTGGTAAGATAGAAAAGTGAGAGGCAAAAACAATATGACTGTCATTTTCTATCCATAATAAAAATAATCAACTGGTCCTTCCAAATTGGATTAGGGGAGAGAATGGGAGAAGTGTAGTCAATTCTTTAGAGATTATGTATAAGGGAAGAAACTTACTTGAAGGGATATTGAAAAGCCTAGATTTGGCTCTCTAGAATGAGAACTGGTTCTGTTCTGTCTGATCATCTATTGTGATTGAGTTTTTTCTTTTGCAACTTCTATCTCCAGGTATTTAGAGCTGCAAATTATGACAGTGATGCAGAGATGTCTGATTTACCATGGGCCTTGGCAAGGCCTTCAACTAAAACAAGCTCTAAATCTGATATGAGGAGAAATGCAAATCCAAAGTATCGAGTGGATGAACTGAATGAACCACCTGCTCGTCATCCGGGTATGCGTTCATTACTTCCTTTACCTGGTGGTGATCTGTTGACTGGGGGCACTGACTTAAGGATTCGCCGCTGGGACCATTGCAGGTTTTAGTCGAATTCTTCTTTTTTTACCCTGTTCATCAATCTTATAGAAATTTTATGCTTCATTTACATTGTTTTCATTGCAGCCCTGATCGAAGTTACTGTATCTGTGGCCCAAATTTTAAGGGAGTAGGAAATGATGATTTCTATGAAACAAGATCGAGTTTTGGTGCACAAATTGTACAGGTATCTTTGAATGATAGGTTTACTTGTAACTTCATTGTGGTGTTTTACCTTTCAGATTTTTAGTGGATGGTTGGGTGTTCATCTTCTATTGATAATAGTTTTCCATTCCATGTATCTATCCCATTCAATATCGTGACAACCGGTAGTAAGGAGTATGGAATGGATCTTACTGATCGAAGATGTCAATGTAAACCCCCCCCCCCCCCCCCCCCCAACCAAACAAATTCAGTAAGCTTGATTTATGCTTGAAGGGGGCCAACAATTTTTTTATTGAGTTCTTTCAAGAGTTAATTATATGTTTTAGACAATCATCCTTTCTGATTTTTTCATATCACAGTTTTTTCAATTATGCAAATCAAAGCATTTCTTATCCAGAGCTTTGATTTTAGATATAAACATTCCCTTTTTGGAACTATAGCCTATTGGGTGATTGTGGATATCCTTTTGACATATCCTGGAAACTTTAATTTCCTGCTTTGCATATGTGTTCTCTTATTACCTTCCTTGTTCTTAAATGTTCATATTCTGACAGATTTTGCATTTATTAACTAGTTATTTAAGCTGCAAGCGCTTGGGGAGTTAAGTTGTTAATTGTTAATGAAAACTGGGTTAGCTAGGGTCCATGCCATTTTTTAATCATCTTTCTCATCTTCTATCATGTTTTTTTGTGCAATTCCCTCAACTCCCTTTTCATTATAAAGCAAATGTGCCTTGTGGAAGTGTTTACCGCTATTTTTCTTTTTCCTAAAAAGTTATTGATTTGGGGTCTCCCCACTCTTTAGAATTTATAATATTGAAACTGTTGTCATTTTTCTTGCAAACAGGAGACTAAGAGACGACCTCTAACAACAAAGCTGACTGCAAAAGCAGTTTTTGCTGCTGCTGCCACTGATTCTGCTGGATGCCACCACGATTCTATCCTCTCTTTGGCTTCTGTGAAGTTGAACCAGAGACTCTTGTTATCAAGCAGTAGAGATGGGGCTATTAAGGTTTGGAAGTGAATAACCTAAAAGTTTAGTGCTTTAACGTACATATTAATTCCAACAGTAGTGAAATTGTACATAATATATATATATATATATATATATATTCAAATTCAGATCCTAAATTCTGCAGTCTAACCACTTCTTTGATCTGTAGTTTTGTACAGTTTGTAAGCATGTAGGTTTATACAGGATTTTTCATTATTAATATAATGCCCTATTTATCAAGAAAAATAGAATCCCCTAGGTTGTATTCTTGTTTAAAAGGGAAAAACTTGTTGTGCCATACATATTCTTGCATCTATGTGCAAAGTTAGTCGTTGCTATCAAATCTTGCAACCTTTTGATGTCCCATGTAGCTGTTCTTATTCATTAGTTTTTTTTTTAGTTTGTAAAAGTAATGTTCTCTTGATATATTGAATTAGACAGTATTTGGGTGGCAAACGGTGAGATTTCTTCCATAATCAGGCATCACATTCTTTTGCCATAGTTTTCTTTTATTTTTGCCATCACACCTGCTTCTGTCTATAAAGGAGCTTAGACAGAAATGAGGTTGTTGAGATTTGGAGATGGCTGAAAGAGATGAAATTGGAAAAGAAAGCATGAAAGAGAATGGACATAGAACTTACAGAAAATAGAATGTCTTTTGAGGTGGTTTAGTCATGTTTATGCTCAAATTATTGTGTTAGATTTGCAGGAGATAATATAACAAGCAGATAGAGACACAAGCAATGCATTTAAGATGATTTAATGCTACTTGCTAAATGAGGTGAATGAATCCATTGATTTTTGCATTAGTTGGTAGATTTGCGTTTATTATTGTTGCCAGTGCTTTTCTCATTTTTGTTGTTCTCTTCATGAAAGCTATGATGATAGTCTGAGTTTCTCATTAATAAGGGATTGTGTCATAAATAAATACCTGAAATAAGGCTGCGTACTGATGATTCATTTTAGTGTAATTTGGCTAGAAGTTAAGTTAATTTATCAAGAATCTAGAGAGCTCTTAAGACCCTACACGGAAGTGTATAACTCTCTCAAGGTTATGCCTGTCTCGCACAATTCATGTTAGTTCTCCATTGAGGACTAGGGAGGCATGCCTGACAGCTCTAGAAACTCTCCAAACTTCGTGTTGCACCAAATGCCACCATGACTCGGCAGTATTGAGCTTCTTTGACTTTTCAATTGCATCTTCTATTCCTGGAAAGGATGTAGATCCGTAATCATTGTGCCTTGAGGGCGCATAAATCTGCATGCCATAAAAGTAGGTAATTTAGTCCATTCTGTTATAATTATGATATTGAATTATATATTTCTTGAGTTCTCCATCTTGTGGTTTTGATATTTAACTTGATTGTGTAATGAATTAATTGAAAACAAAACATTAGTACGGTGAAATTAACTTGTTTAGGTGAATGTAGTTAACAACAACTAAGTGTTTGTACCATGGCCTTCTAAGAAGTTCATCATGGTCCATAAGTGCACATTCTGCCATCGTTAGTCTGTCATTTAGCTCTCGCACTTTGACATGGTCACTTCTCCGCATTGATGTCCAACCTTTAGCTTCTTTTATTTCCTAGACAATAATACTTCCATTACTTGTTCTGCTGAACATTGTTACTTTTTTCATTTTCAAACTTGGTTTATGGAAACTGTAGTGTTACCTTTTTCTGGTTATTTATCCTGCTGGCTGCTTTTGACAGCTCCCTAATAGACTTGAACAAGGGAGAACAGGTTATCCCCTTATCTGAAATCTTATTTTCCAGGTCTTTTGCACTCTTCTGTTATCATGGATTTTGTTATACCGTATTAAGCTTTAGTGGCTAAGCCCTAAATCTTCCTGGTTTATAGTGCATTTAACTGCATATAGTTATTTTTTTCCTAAAGGTTAGTTTACCTGGTGTTCAAATGCATGGGAATGATACTCAGAAGGCAAGAACTCCTTATCTGCCAACCGAAGAGCTGCTAAACCCCAAACATTTTGCCACTGTTTTTTTTAAACAAAAAAAGTTCTCGTTTTGTCATTAAGTTGTTTGAGGTTAGTCTGTTTTATTAAATTTCTCTAATAATGAAATGTTTTGACAAAAGCTAAAGTAATTAATCCACACTACATATCCTATTTATCAAAGTGCATTTAGGAGTGTAGAGTATTAATGAGCAATGACGAGGAAAAAACTTTATACCATTTGTTCAAGGATTTCTAATTGTTAGATGCTGCTATGTTCCTGCAATGGGTCAATGAAACATTAAGTCACCAAAATTTTCCATCCAGATGTAGTCATCATACATTGAATGATATACCAGGTATTCTGCACGGACAATTACTTCTATTAGGCATGAAACATGGGAAAACTTGATGCCATCATATGTCTGCGTCTACTATGGTAATGGTTGCAAAATTCTGGGGTTTCAAAGTTGTATCCAAGGTAAAGGGCTTAAGGCATTAGAAAAAATTTTGAAGTTGAAGTACCTTGCGATGAGATTTATTTTTCAGAGAGGGCCGGGGGGCGCTGGACAAGGTAAAAAGAGATTGATGAATCTTTCTTCAAGGCTAATGTTGACTTGCGACATATTTTGTAATAGTGCTAGATTATTTTTAAAGCTTGAAAAAATTAATTACATAAAAAAAGGGGGTTGAAGTATTTTATGAGAAAAAATTTAATAATTTTTGTTTAACGTGAAACAAAATAAAAAATTATAGTTTTTTTTTCTCATCTTCATAGGGTTGAGGAGTTTGAAAAATTAAGTTGAGATATAAAATCAAAAATATCTTTTGTAAAATAAAATCGTAAGATTCAATAAATCAAAGTAAAATATCAAATTAGTGTAAATTATAATGTTTGATATCAAAGTTAGCTCTAAGAAAACTAGTAATTTACTATCGATGATAGTAAGCCTTTATTGGAGTGGGGATGTTATGGTTTTAGAAAAAAATCATGAATTTTACATCTGTACTAAAGTTAGTATTGTGATATAATTTTGTGAAGCATTTATCATGCTGTTATATATAGCATGCATTTGTTGGATATTTCTTTTGCATGGATTGAGAGTCATTTTTCATGGTAACAGTTGAAATTATTGGGAATTGTTTTCAGGTTCTATGGTCTAATAATTTGTCAAGACTCGAGTACTTGTCGTTTCATTATCTGTTGTCATTACCCTAGTGGCATTGTCTTTTATCAACCTTATCTGAATAGAACGAAAAGTTTCTTTCAATACAAATGAATGGAGAATCTACTTGATTTGGCAAGGTTTGATATAATTTATTGGTCATGTAGTTGTGAGATCTTCATATCTGCTTACATTAGTCGAAAGCATACCATTTTACGTGTGCATTGATTAACATACTAGAAATTTTCTTCTATTTATTTTTCATCACCATATGGATCAAACTATTTTGTTGGTGTCTGATTAATTCTCTATCCAAACTAAGTATATCACCTTTGTTTGTTTATTATAAAAATTGTTTATGCATCCTTTTTTTCTTTGAAAAAAGGTTACAACACCTTATAATTTGATTGGGAATCTAAGCTTGATCGGGTGAATATGCCTCCAAATACGGTAAATTGATTATTAAAGCAAAAAACAGAGGATATGGCTGCATGATCTCCATAGGAGCCTGGACCAATCTTGATGATTTGTAATTCGGATGGTGTCTATTTCCCTTCAATGGGTTTCCCTCAAAATGGTTCTCATTGACATAACAAAGATTGAATTGAGCGAATTTAAATGGATTGCTTATTCTGATATGATCTTCCTCGTATTACCTAAACTATTCTTTCATAACCCAGCAATCAAACTTAACCGTAATTTAATTTTTCGTCCACTGATGTAATACTTCAACTACTTGATCCGATAAGGTTTAAGGTTTAAACTTTAATCCTGTTAAGGAGTAGCAGCTTAACATTTATTCCGTGTTTTTTTTTTTTTTTGAACATTTATTCCATATTAATCTTATTGTTTAAGGAATGCAGAAGCGTCGCTGTTGAATCAGTTTCCAGAACATTCCTGGAACATCTGGTTCATTTTAATGTTTTGGAATTTAGATCTGTTCACGAGCTCAGATTCATGTCATAATTTCTTTTTTCTTGACAGCCTCCCCTGGTTGTCCTCTTCTAGCTTTAGACTTCATTCATTCACTCAATCACTGCACTCTCTGTCTTCTAGTCTTGTTCACTGTTTCAACTTCGCACATGATTAATTTCATGCAATATGTTTCATAATCTTTTTTTTTTTTTTTTTTCATTTCTGGAGGTTCTCCTTATTAAGACATAAATTCTTAATCTCTCTTTATCTTTTATTTGTTTATTATTTTTTTTCCAAACATAGCTTTAGCGTCCTTCCTATAAAGGACATCATGTCAAAATTATTATTTGCTTTACATTTGTTCTCTTTTCTTTTTTGTTTTACCTTCTAAAAATAAGAGACTGGGTACTGCGCCTGCCCCGTTGGATATGAATCCAATCATTTCACTTTTCACTTCTCATCTTATATGTATTCCGGGCTCTTTGTCAAAATTTTCTCATTATTTTTTAAGGGTTAGATTTTATGGTGTTGAAGAGATGCAAATCTCTTTCCATTTTTTTTTTTCTGTTTTCTCATTTTCTACCAAATGACCCAAACAGTTTCAATGTCCTTTGATTTTCTTTTTAGTTATGTTTTGGTCATTGGAACTATTCTTTATCTCCATTCTATATTATGCTTTTCTTCTTTATTTAATTACAGTATACCAACATCTGATAGATCCTTTGGCCAGAATCTATACGGCATTATTTTAAAGCTTATTTGACTTGAATTCGATTCATAAGAGGTTCAAAACATCAAAAACTAAAAAAAAAAAAATTTATTATCTGCATGATAATTTTCTAACCACATAGTCTATAAAAGACTCGTGTATTGGTCACAAAATGTAAAATAGAAGCCCTCGAGAAAAGCAGAAAATTGGTACCCAACTTCAGCAGAAAAGCACAAAAAGAGATAAATGGACTGATATAGAGTAATATAGAAGAATTTTTTCAATTCCAAAACTCAAACAACCCCATCATTTTGTTAATAGTCTAATCCCATCGTCCACATCACCATAATCCCAAACGGAAGCAAAAGCATCTGTAATTTTGTAAGTAAGCCAGGGTCATGTGTATTTCTTTTGTCTAAGTCCAGCAAGTGGTCCTGTCAAATCCTCTTTCTCACCCTTGAACTACTTTGTAAAACTTATGCAGCCCAGCTGATGTAAACCACCCAAATTGGTCAGTAGGAAGCCAATAATCTAATGATACAGGCGTAAGTAATCTGCAAACAGGACAGAAGGATTTTGATAAACTATTGAAAAATTAGTAGAAATGCAAGCTGATATAGACATCCCATTATATCTCTTTTAGAATATATATCATACACAAACAGGTAGGAGAGACCACTCACGGGCCTTTGAAACAAACAACAATTAGAAGAAAACTTTTTTTAATTTAACAAACGTTCTTATATGTGAAAAACTGCAACCTGTCTTGTGGCCTGGATTGTTTTCCTTTTTTTCTTCCCTCTTTCTCTCTCTCTCATTCTTTCCTCTTAAGTCTTGACATGTTTGTCAGCAGAAGCACCCGTGACCTCTCACTTTCTGTCATTGATTTTCTAATTCAACAAAATCACTTTCCACCGAAGGCCAAGTACCAACTAGCTTGTTTATAAACCATAATTCGACCTTGCCAGTTTCACTTGAACCTATAAAACAACATTCCCTTTTGTTACACTTGCTCTCATTCTCATTCATTCGTAAATATGTCAAAGTTTCAATGTATTTTTTACATTGCCATCCTTCTTATTCTCTTGAATTCAGGCCAGACATTATGCCATACCAAAGGAATCAGACTCAAAATTTCTAGAGGGAAGCTCAAGCAATCAACCATTAATATGACAGGAACCCAAGTATCAGAGCAGCAGTTCATGCAGTGGGTCAAATTTGTTGGTAGCCTTAAACACTCAGTTTTCAGGACAGCAAAGAACAAGCTTTTCCCTTCTAATACTATCATTGTGGACAAGAATCCGGCGGCTGGAGACTTCACCACAATTCAGGATGCCATTGATTCTCTTCCTTCCATAAATCTTGTGAGAGTGGTTATCAAGGTCAATGCAGGGGTTTACACGTGAGTACTTTGACTCGTATAATGTGGTTTGCTTGGATTGTATTTTTACTCTTGTCTTTATGCTTTCTGTAATTTTAGTTTCATTAGGTTCTGCCAAATTGTTCTAGTTTCCACAGAATTCTGGATTCTAGAATTAGTCTACATTCACTTGTATGCTAATTCTTGTTCAGTCTGAAAGTGTCATACTGATACAAGAATGTGATTCCCATTTTTTGTTTGTTTTTGTGTCTTTATCATTGTGATCAAAATTCTCTGTTAATTGTGAAATGGTATTTTGACCAAGAGTACTCTAAGACCTTTTTTAAACCAATCTTGTCTTACTTTTAGTTCATTTCTTGCTCGTGAAAGAAGTTACTATATGAGAAGTTGAGAATTAATTATTTAATTATACTGATTTTTCAGGGAGAAGGTTAACATACCGCCATTGAAATCCTTCATAACCATTGAAGGAGCAGGAGCAGATAAAACAATTGTTCAATGGGGAGACACAGCTCAAACACCTGGGCCAAGAGGACAACCTTTGGGAACCTATGGTTCTGCAACTTTTGCTGTGAATTCCCCTTATTTTATTGCCAAAAACATTACATTCAAGGTAGGTAATTTAGTCTTAATAATTTTTCATCCCTCACCCTCCTTGCCACTCTTTCTTTTTCTTATAGCAAAAGAAAATGTTGGTGCAGAACACTACACCAGTTCCACCACCAGGAGCAGTTGGAAAGCAAGCTGTTGCATTTAGAATATCAGCAGATACAGCTACTTTCTTGGGCTGTAATTTCATGGGAGCTCAGGACACTCTCTATGATCACTTGGGTAGGCATTATTATAAGGATTGTTACATTGAAGGTTCTGTGGATTTTATCTTTGGCAATGCTCTCTCCCTCTTTGAGGTTAGTTTCTTACCTGTAAATTGTAATAGACACTTTTATCAAATGTCTAACTTGTGATATCAAATGTTTTAGGTCTAAAGTGTAATATGGTTGGATGGTTGGTGGTTTCAGGGATGTCACGTGCATGCAATAGCAAGGTTAACAGGGGCCGTAACAGCACAAGGCAGAGGGAGTGCCTTAGAGGACACAGGCTTCTCTTTTGTAAACTGTAAGGTCACGGGCTCCGGAGCTCTATACCTAGGGAGGGCATGGGGTCCTTTCTCCAGGGTGGTCTTTGCTTATACTTACATGGACGACATTATCATTCCTAAGGGCTGGTATAACTGGGGCGACCCTAGCCGTGAAATGTAATTTTCCCCCCTCCCTTTCATTCATGCATGCATATTCACATACACATTGACATGAAAATGAAATTTAAGGATTAGGATCATCCTTTTAAGAGCTCAATTAAAAACAAAGAGACTTCCAAGCTAAGGCCATCTTATTGCATACGTAAAATGTTATAAGGGTTAATTACACATTTGATACTCCTAAGTTATATTTGAGAATTAATCCTATATATAAAGTTTAAAATTTTATAATTAAAATATTTTAAAAAAATTTTATAATTAAAATATTTTAAAAAATTTTTTATCAGTTTATACATAAGATTAAACTGTTCGTCAATCAAACGATGACATGTTCAAAAAGTCCATAAAATATGCCATGTGTTGCAATTTTATTAGATGTGTCGGAGACGTCAGTCCTTTGACTAATAATACTAGTCCCGTGTGCGAATTGATGAATCAAAACAAATTTTGAATACTTAATTAAAAAATTTTGATTATAATTCAAATATCACATATGTAATTAACCCAAAAATTAAATTGTCCATATATACTGTGATTAAATTATTGGATAAATCCCACTATAGTAGTAATGGTAATTAATGGATACATGATGGACGGTGCGCATGCGGATCCCTTTCCCATACAGAACAGGCTTTGGATGGTTTTATTGTTTGTCAGGTTACCCTTTTCCCAGCAGCACCGCCTCAAACTATATACAAAGCCTTTCTTGTTTTCGTCTACCTCATCATCGCATTCATATATTGGCAAACAAGTCGTACGACAACAAATATGGGCCGTTACTGTTTTAGGAACCTGACCATTAAAACTGTGTGCCATAGCTTTTCCTCCTTCGAATGATCTGAAAAATCTACGTGTAATGCACCAGAAAAAGAGAAGCAATCCACGCCAAACAAATGTTAGGCAATATTGGTGGATTATAAAGACAAGGCCACGACAGCCTAGCTCATGCTGATCCGTGCCTAAAGTTTTTTTTATTTAGCAATATTGCAGAAGCTAGAGCATGTGCATGCATTTGTTGAGAGGGCTGGCTTTGTGATTTGTATTGATGTGGTTGGTTTTTGTGGGTTGGTACTTTGCCAGGACTGTGTTTTATGGGCAGTATAAATGCACTGGACCTGGAGCAAGCTTTGCAGGCAGGGTTTCATGGTCAAGAGAACTTACAGATGAGGAAGCCAAACCTTTTATTTCTCTTAGTTTCATTGATGGGTCAGAATGGATCAAATTATAATCATCAAATTTGTTCATGTATAATGTATACCAACAAACAAAAAGTATTTCTTTGTACAAGCCATAATGATGATAGTTTTGATCTATTGTAGGACGATAATCACGACAATTCTTCATTTATTTGTAATCTTTTGTGTTTTGGTTCCTAGGAGCAGAAAAATCTGCTAAAAATCACAAGCCTTAGACCTAATAACTCTAAGACAATCCCATCGCATCAAGTGAATCATTGAAGGCCAGGCCCTTCTTTTTGTACTTTAAAGGTCTTTCAGAAGAAAATTACATTACAATCATTTGGTTCAAAGGGGCTGTTTGTAAGAACTCTGATACGTGAGCCTGAACCCACAATGAGCTTTGATAGTTGTTAATTTGTTTCTAGATTGAAAAAGTGATCGGAGCAACGCAACTATTCCAAAAGCCAGCTAGGACTAGGTGCCTTGGCCTGCAATAGCAGCAGGCAATCAGCTAATGTTCTCGGTCAGCTGAGAGCCTAGTGCTGCCATTAGGTGTCTGTTCCTATGAAGGATAATGGATGAAAAAAAAGTTGGTTCATTAGGTTTAGGCCAGCTACCAAATTTAGGCCCAGCTCAATAGAGATCTTAGCTTTGGGCAGTCTTTCTAAAGCCTATCAAAATTTCGGCAGTGAGCATGCCATGTGGCGTCAGCCTGCCATAACTCACCTTGTTACCCAATGATAGCTCAAACAAGAGACCTCTCTAAATTAATTTTGGGTTCAAAGGTCATAAAGAATTACAGATGGCACCCAAATATTTATTAAACAGTAAACACCTCTCCTATCCCATCTTGAAAGCCTGAACTGCCAATTTTTTTAAAAAATTTTAAAAAGAAGTAACTGATTGATGGGTGGCAGATGGCGCAAAGTAACGGTGAAAACAGAGCTGCTGTTTGTCTCCTAAAATCAAGAACATTTTATATGTGTCAAATCAAAAGCTAATCATTATTTGTCTGGGGAATCTGAAAATTATTGACAAATTATCATGATATAAGATCGACGAAAAGTAGTGCTACTTGAATTGATTGAAAAATGAAAAAGATAAAATTTTCTTTGTTTCTTTTGAATTATTTGTAGTGGTTCCATAGTTTCAAACATGTTAGCTTGACTTCTAGTTGGGGTGGTCGTGAAGCAGCAAGCTGAAATTTTTTTAATTTTCACTTGATTGACCCAGTGAGTACAATTATTACTACTAATCTTCCATAGATAAATCTTCTCAAGGTATTGATTGAAGTACTTTCTCATTTCATAAACTTAGTACTAAAGTAACAAGAGTAGTGGTAATGAGCGTGGAAGACAACAAAGAGAGTTGGTGGTGAAAGTGTAAATAATCAAGAAAATAATACTGTAATAATGAGAAATTGCTGCATGTTATTTCCATTTTCAGGTTTGATTTGGTTGCTTCCAGTCAAATATATATGAAAAACTTACATTTGTAGATAGATAGCATTGGTGGTACAACAAGCAGTAATCGGCAAACTAAAAACAAAAAAGCCTTGAAAAGGAAGAAGAAAGAAATAAACAAACAAAATTTGTAACAGAAGGTGGGTCATGCATGAACGTAACTCAAGGGGCCATTGCCATTAAATACACAATGAAAAAAAATCCAAGCTATCACATATCATATGCAAACAAAGAGAGAGAGCAAATGGTTGCAGTCTTACACACAATTCCAAAATGAATAATGAGGGAGGGAACATTGTACTGGAAATGCATGTTGAAATACCAAAGCTATGGTTTCCAATATTTTCAAATTGAGAAATCAACCACCACACCACCCATGGCAATGTTTTTCCACATTCACATTTATCTTTGGCTCCTAAAGTCAAGAAAATAAATACACTTACATCAAATCAATCAGACAATGATGGCGAGGAATTAAAAGATGGGAGTTTTTCAAATTCTGCCACCATTATTTTTTGTGCTGATCTGACAAGGTCACAGAATTTTAAGAGATTGGTGAGTTTGGATTAATTCATAGTTTGCAAAAATTAGCTTCTATTAGTCCAGGAAAAACTAAGAAATGTTGGTTGTTTAGAAAACAAACATTGAAGAGTGTTATGGAGAGCTCAACTAATTCTACAATTGCAATTTCATTTCATTAACAAGAAAGGCAAATTCCTTCACATGACACTGACAATTGAATCAGATGGACAGGAATTTCGATCAGATCATGTAAATTCTCCACTCATTCTATCTTGTTTAATCACCTATCTTTGTTCACTAGCATACAAGGGGGGGCCCACAGAGGCAGAGCTACATTTTTTTCTTTTGCTCTCATAATCACAACTTTCTCTGCAAATAGTTTCTCTCAGGATCTCTACCAAATTCTGAGGATCTATCAAGCTTCCTCATCACTGCATTCTTAAAATTAATAGATTCCTGAACTTGTGAGCATGATGTCTGCATTCTAACCCCACTTAAACTACTTCTAGATTCCATCATTTCATAGAGGGAAAGGCGCTTTTTCGGCCCTTGCTCTAGCCTTTGCTTTGGTGCACTCTGTGACCTCAATTTAGCCTTGAAAGATTGTGTGTTAGCCATATAATTGGGAACATTAATATTCCCGTAGTGTCTAAAAAAGTTATCAGCGCATATACTCTTGGCCGGTGTAACGGGGGCATTAGACACACAAGAATTGATAAACCGAGGTGTACTTTGTGCTGTAGAGAACCTGCATTCATCTCCAGTTAATCCCCAATTAGTGTCTTGAAAGCGCCGGCTATCTGGCATCGATAAACGGGCTGGAACCGGATATGGAAGTGGAGAAGACAGCGTTTGATAAGGCGGGTCATCGCTGAAATCTGATACAGAAGTGTTGATTATGCGAGATTTTGATTTAGGCCTGCCTGTATCAACCTCCACAATTTTGGGGCTTCCATCAATGTTAATTCCAGTGTCAAGAGAAGCTGACAATCTTCTGCTATGGATAGAAACCGTATGTTCACTCCTTGTATCATCAAATCTCTCCTACAAGATGGATTTTAAATGGTTCAGAAATAAGCCTAAATGGAAGTCAAAATAGAGTAGAATTATTGAATTAAAAGGATTGTTTACCATAGATTTTCGTGCTCGGATGTCAAATCTGTTAGCATCATGGTTAATGATTCCACGAGCTTTCTGGGACCTAATGGTGGCTTGTGCTCTTATGAGGGCCTGCATACCATAAAGAGTAGCTGTAGCCTGTTTCCGCACTAAATATCCTCTAACAAGGGCTTGTATCTTCACTAATCCTTTCAAAGCTCGTCGTGCTTTCCTAGCCTGTTTTGAATCCAAAATCCAAAATTAAAAAACATGATGAAGAAGCCTTAAATTTTACTCAAGTTCAAGCAGATAACATCAATATGCCAATCCGCAATGCTTAAAAAAAAAAGAAATGAAGACTCAATTGTTTAAATAAATTGAGTAAGAGAGACTATACTTACCAGATAACCTCTAAAAACAGTTTGAATCTTAACAGCAGCCCACCTCTCATGTCCACCACCAAATATGGTCCCTCTGCCATGACTTGTCAGCCTCACCACTGCCACTGCTGCCTGCGCAGCGGCTACTGCGGCATCTGCAGCCGCTGCTGTGGCGGCTGCCACTGCAATTGCGTTCTTGTTCTGCTCCTTCTCTGTTTCATTGTAGTATGATCTTAGCCAGACATTCTCTTCTGGTGATATGTTTGGAGGTATTGTTATTGGGTTGTGATACAATCCACCACTTAAGTCTCGCCCTGAATGGCCAACGCTACACCTTTTCTTGTCTTGCCGGTCACTGGAATTTGAGTAGTCTTTGCTGCTCTTTATCCCAAACAAGCTCTTTAGCCACCTTGTAGCTCTTCCCATTTTTTTTCTCAGTGCACTGAGTGGGAGAACTTGAAGAGTAAGAGGGAGTTCAGGAAATGAACACATAAACTAAGGGACACAAAAAGACAGAATAATTTAAAAAAAGAAAAAAAGAGGGATTTAAAAGTGAAATCTAAAAATGCCCATTTTGATAAGAAAGCTTAGAAACAAGAAAAGGTGATACAGCTCACAATCTTAGTTGCTTTCCATGTTGCGAAAAGTGGTGATGCAAAGTTGTTGAAGAATAATACACTATACAGTATGATCTTTTTAAAGGAACGTCAATATTTGAGAAAACAAAATTTGTTAACAAGAGATGGGGAATATATATATTTTCTATATTTTAATGATGGAGTGTGTTTCATAGAGTAGTATTTGAAATTCAAAATAACTCAAGGGAATAAAAATACTGTCATTGCCTGGTGAGAAACAGCATTACATGACAAGAACATGCCGCTGAAAGATTCAGAGGGTCTTAAAAAGAAAATATTATTATTAATCAGAAGTTTTAAAATGGAGTTACAATTACAATGTAGTGAAACCCCACAAACAGGAGAGTTAAACAAAGATGATATAATAAAATAATCGATAAAGAAGAACACCCACCTCACTAGAATCTGATTCTCAAATGAAAAGAAAAGAAAACAAGAAACAGGGTTAAGGTAAAAGAGAGAGAGGGGAAAATGAAGGAAAGTGAAACATTCGAATTTTCATTCCTCCAACGGGAAACTCAGGAAAGTTTTGGTTTGACAAGAAAAAGAAAAAGAACAACACTCTTAACAGTACAAAAAAGAATACAAACACACCCACAAAAAAAAAAAAATAGTCTCCCTATTTTTCTCTCACTCATTACTTTCTGGAGCGACGTGTCTTCAAAAAGAAAGGGACCTTAGTGTCCTCAGCTTCTGACAATCTCGTGAAGCCTTTCTTTTTTATCTAATTCTCTGCACCTGTTTTTACTCTCCCCTCTCTCCCTTCTTTGAACCCTAGCAAATAAATGATATTATTCTATGCATGTTAGAAAAAAATTTTGTTACCACAAAAGAGAAACAGTCTATAAATTCGAGCACCATGGCGATGATCTCTTATTCACGCTATCCAAAAAGATAATTAAGCATATCCCGGCTGCTGCAACAATGAACAATCTCAATTTTTTTTTTAATCTATGGTACTTAGAACCAGGTATCAGAAGACAACAGAATGCAATGATATGTCACTGTAAAACTTCTCAGCATCAAGACAGTAGCTTTCTGTGAATATTTTGTTCTTCTTAATTCCCTCTGTAACTCAAACAAAGCTGTTCCTTCGCTGCAAAGTTCATCTCTCTCTATAGCTGCCATTGCTAGCATCTAAAACTGTGAATTTGCAGAATTCTTTTTCACTGTTTTATTACATTGTTCTTCAATTATTTATGCTCGAATTCCACTTTCTTGTCAATGTTTTTTACTTTATTTTCACAATGACAGTCCGTCCTTTCACTCTCTGCACCAATCTGTGACCCCATCTTATAGGTGATACAATAAAGTTCCTTCTACTTTTCATGAACTTTTTTAACCAGTGCTCTCAGACATTTCACAATCATGAAAAATCCAACTAAAATTTTGAGAAAATAAACATTAAAAAAATAAAAGAATTTTTGATTGGTTAATGCTAAAACTTTGTGATTTTCCTTCTCTTCTCTACTGGTACTTTGCTGGCTATATTCAGACAAATGAAAACAAATTTGTCCCTTACATGTCACTATTTACGAAATTGGTGCCAATGCTGGGAATGGCATGGAACAAAATAGGGGAGTGGGAGAAGGGTACAATGGTAACTTGGGGATGATACTAGGTGTAACTTCTTAGCTGGCCCTCCTTTGATGGCAACGGCGTATCTCAGACCATTCAAAGGCAAAATCCAAAATGAGGTCATTGAAATTGGCTGTATTTACGGAAATACCATGAGAGGTTTGACAAAATTTATAAAAGGTGGATGGTTGGATCATTTTTTGTACGGATTTACGGAAAAGTTTTATTTTGGGCTGTCTAGGAACTAGGATGGCAGAGGAGAAATTGCCTTTTACTGATTTTATTTTATTTTATTTTGTTAAAGGGCAATATTGAAGAAAATTCCAATTCAGGCTTTGAATTTTATAGCATTTTTAACGTAATATAGATGAGCTCATCATAATATCAATAAATTTAAATATTAATTTTAGTAAAATTTATTTAATATAAAATTTTTTATAAAATTTTTTTAATTATAATTATAATAATTTTTTTACTATAATTACAGTAATTTTTATTATTATTTTTAATCTCATTAAAACTAATCTTATTATCTATATAAATAAACTCTTATCCCACAAAATAAATACTTGGACTACAAGTTTATTAGTTACATGAAACAGATGAAATTGAAGTAAAATACTAATCTATAATTGATTATGGACCGTGAAAAAAAATAAGCGCATACTTTTACAAGGATTTGATCTCAAGTTCCAGTAATTTGTTTGTATCATCATCCCATAACTTTTCTCCTTAGAGAGAAAAAAAAAACCCAAAATGAGATAAAAAAGTGTAGTGATGATCAATATTCCCAGGCTGAAGGAGCACATAATTGTTGTAAATGGCACATTTCATCACAACATAAAGTGTTTCGAACTTTGTATACAAAAGCAGAGGTGATTAGATGGCCTGTCAATTGGAACTACTCAAAGTAGTTTAAAGGGCTGAAACTAGCCAGCTACTCCATCAAATATATAATTTTAGGCCATTACTGAATGTCTGCTTGCAATTATTTCTGTCTGATTTAATGTATATTCTTGCAGCACTTTGCCCAGAAAACCATCCTTTTTCCTAATCTGGCAAAATAAGCTTTATTTTTATTTTTCTTTGGACAACAAACTTTTGATTGATAACGAGCCAAATTGAAACTAGGCAAAAGCTACTCCAAGTGGTAGAGAAAATTTCCCGACGGGGCTTTAAAGCTGGGTGCATTAATATCGGGTGCCAAATTAGGGTTCTTAGGAACCTAGAAATTATGGTAGTTTCCTAGATAACTATACTGGGAAATTTGCAAAATTCGTCACTTTCTTCATCTGGCAATCAGTGCTGCTCAGAAACCATTGTCCTATAAGCAACATCTGGAACAGCCAAAACCATTATTTTTACAGCACTTCTTTTCTTTTTTTTTCTTTCTTTTGTTAGAAATGAAAGAATCCGGAAGTTCTCAGAACTTCAAATAAAATCCATAATTGCTTGATGATAGTGATATTCAAGCATTTTGTCCATAGCTTCTGATAAAAATAAAATCCATCTGAATGAATGATGGGATCAATCCCTAAACTGACCAGGACAGATTCCATCCTTCTGAGAAATATAAACTGGAAAATGGGCTAAGCCCAGAATTCAAGCTTAGCAGTTTGCACTCTTCTGAATGCATTCTGGTTAAAACAATGACAGTATGACACTCAACTCTGCGATGAGTGTAGGATTAGGTTAGCCCCCTTCAACATGGAGGGAGCCATGAATACCAATTACCCAATCTCTATGCGATACTTGGCAATCCAAGTTGGATCAATTCGGTGGCCCCATAAGCCTGTTGGCCCTGGAACCTGTAAAGCTTGTAAGTTGGGGAAGAATTGCATAATGAACCCATAATCCCCATTGGACAAAGGTCATTATTCAGGCTGAGGTTTCTGTTGCCCAAATTGGTGTCAGCATTTCTCAACAAATATGGCCAGAATGATTGCAGCCCAAACTGACCCAATTCATTATCTGAAATTAATTTTTATATATACACGAAACCAATGCGAATCTCAAAAGCGCAGCCACTATGAACATAAAAAATATCTAGTTGGACAATCTAGCGCACTCCCCCTTGAATACTCTAGTAATGTCCATATCATCAAATTTGGTTTTTTTTTTCGTATTATGAAGGTGGGGCAGTTTCTTATCTACACATGAATGATTGATATAATTTTGATCACATAAGCTTGACAGAAATCTTTTAAAAGAAAAAAAACCCTTTTTCTTTGGACTTAAGCTTAGTGGTTTTTTAAAGTTAAATTCATGATTTTGTTTGTTAGGTGATGTACAAAGTCTCAATAGCTGGTATGTGGCCGAAAAAAAAAAGGTCTGGATAGCTGGTAGGATCAATATTGTTGTTTTGGATGACCAAAAAGATGTCAATTCCTTTCTGAAATAAAAAGAAATTAAATATAGTAGATTCGTGCATGGCTTGACTCATTAATCCATCATTTTATTTATTTATTTATTTATTTATTATTATTAAGTGAAGTGCATGTGCCTATCTATGTGTATATATGCATACATGCTTACAAAATCATTCAATATCTTAAGGTTTTTTTTTTTTTTAATAATTTGCATGCATGCTTATAAAATTCAAATATAATTAAGAATTTCATCAAATTTGATTCAAATTAAAATATAAAATTCTTAACATTGAAGTCTCCATTTAAAAATAAATTGTACATATTTATACTAACGTATATGTATATATGTTCAAAGTGCACTAGTTGAGATATTCAAAAATGTAATTCATGGTAAATACGCATTTATTTCTACTCAAAGAGTTAAATTTAAATCTTTCGGTTTCTTTTATTTAAAAAAAAATTCAAGGCTTGGGTGTACCAAAAAAGAACAATCACACGTAATAGAAAAAGGATTACTATTTTATTGTGGTATATAATATAGTATACCGGTGGTGGAGTAATTATAGTTTCATCATCATCATCATTGCATACATAACTTGCCCAACCTCGATCATGTCAAGTTGATCAAGTTTGGGCAGCCCCAATGTTTAATGTTTTTGCAACTCTTGGCTCTTGATCCACTCATTTCATTGCATTAATTGCTTTTCAGGGCGGGCACTTTGCTAATGATAAACCCAAATAGCCTACCCTAAGTTGGTCCCTACATATCTATTTAATTAACCTAGAGCATATATCAAGCTCTACATATCCCAGCTGTATGATCTTTGATTACTATCAATCCAAGTTGCAGCCAAATTAAATACATCGAAAAACACACAACATTAGGACATGTTTGCATGCTTTTGTTTTTGTGAACGTACTAGGCCAAATATAGTCATCCAACTTTAAAGTGGAACCCAACTTGTCAACCTCTTAGGGTGTAGAGAATAACGGTGAGCAAGGGAAGGCTAAAACATGCCTACTATGCTCTCAAAGACTAAAAGTAATAGTGATCATATAGTAGAAAAGAGGAGATATATGCCATCGTCATGTGAGAAGGAGATTGAGCTCCTCCTGAAGGGGACATGTCATGGCAAGTTGAGAAATAAAGAAACAGGGATTGTTGAATAAATCATGGAAACTAACCCTACTGAATGCAAATGCTGCTGCAGGAAGAAAATTTCAAAAGTGTTTTTGAGTGTTTGTGCTGCCAGTTGTTGCTTACAAGGAGGACAAAAGGCCTTACATATGCCCTAACACAGCCTACCCTACATTGCTCGTTTCATAGTTGCCGCTTCAAAATGAGGAGTTTAATTCTTTCATACATGCAGACAGCGATGATGGGGGTGGTTTGGGGGATGATAGTGGGGGCACTTGGAGCCCCTTGAAAGAATATGGCAAGAGAGAGAGAGAGAGAGAGAGAGAGATGTAGATAAGGTAGGGGACAAAGAGAGAGATGTATGAATTGAAGGAATGGAAATGGAATGGCTGCCAAAAAGAGTAGCCATGTGAGAAGCATGATGCTCTAGAATGATGCTGTCGCTCTTCTAGTATTTGCTCTTCTATTTTACTAGAAAAGGAATGGCAACCATGACCCCCCTTCTCTCTCTCTCTCTCTCTCTCTCTCTCTCTCTTGACAGACCATCTGTGGGAATTTGATAGTTGTTTATTCTACTCCCAACATGCTCTGTAAATATCTACCTACGCCAATTGTTGGTTGCTTATCTAAATAAAATATATATATATATATATATGATAAATCATTCAAAGAGGACCTAGCTAGCTGCTATCTATCTACCTAGGTTCATTCAACTTGGAAAAGATGATAAATTAGCAGGAGGAAACTTTCCTCAGCCTGTGGTTAAATGACGCCTGTACGTGCAGAGGCAAAAGTTGAATTGACAGTAGATAAATCTTAACATTTGCTAAAATAAGGGAGCCTTAGACAGCCAGTGGTCACTGGGTGACTTTGAGAGAGGGCACTGAAATTGAGAAACCTTTATTTATTTTTAGAGACGATACATCCCTTTCAATTCATTCTGGCACGTTGAACGCTCCCTGGCAATGGCATATGATCTTTTAATTAAAGCTTTTCAACCAATCAAGATTCTAATCCCTGATTATTCAAATACTAGCGGTTGCATGCCCCTAGTTACTGGCCCCCGTTTTTCTTCCCTGCTTCCTGTCTCTGTTAAAAAAAAAGGTTCACGTATTTAAGCAGAATACAAATTTAGAAAACGGAAATAGCCTCCTGGTAACCTAGTGTCAGACCTATTCACGTTAGTAATATTCACACATTTTAACTCATGTGATTCATGTAACTACAGTTATTGAAGCACAAATGCAAATGCAGTTTGCACATATAAAAATATGCTGCAGCGGCTTGTTGATTTGGAAAGGAATATTGTGGTTTATGATCTTGAGGATCTAACTTTTTCCACGAGTTGGCAAATGAAGATTTTTGGTTGGGCCAGCTAATTAACTCTGGGCTATGTTTCAGCTAACTACATATTATAGAAGAAACAGTATGTATGATGCACTTCTGCCCATCTCCCAAAAGGATAATATAGACAGAACCAAATAAAAATGGCACATCCAGCACTCCGATGGCAGGATTCGATTCTGAATGTAGATATAGTACTATTTGTTCAAAGATGGTGAAAGAAATAATAATTTTAAAATGATTATGGAAAAGAAACTGTTTATATAGAAAGGGTTTTTTTTTTAATATCATATCTTTAATTAAAAAGATTTCAACAACATGATACAATATGCACATTTTAAAGACTTTGGTCAGGATGTCCATCACTATTAATGGAATTTATATGATATATTTAAAGAAGCTTGTCTTCCTTAAAATATATATGCATTCTATCATCATCATCATCATCGATCAAAATATGAAAAAAAGACAACAAAATGGATGCAATACTATAATATATCAATAATGAAGCCATTATTCTGATTTTTTTAGTATTTTATGGATAAATCCGTAGATTATTTTGCCTAGAGATGTGATTGAATATGTCTTACAAGTATGTATATCTTGTGGATTTGATGATTTATTAATTTGAGCAATTGCACTATGAAAAAAATAGGTCAAAGCCCTCAATGTGCATTGGTCTCAAAAAATTAATTATATTTCACCCATATAAGGCTTTAATTTAGTTAAAATATCATTTATAAATGTAAAAAAAAAAAAGAGAGAGGAAAAAGTTGGAATGAAGAAGGACCTCTCAATTCTCATTGTTAGCATATTGTTTCTTCTAATTTATGATGATGAAATTAAATCATCAAGATTAAAATTTCAATCATTTAGACGATTGAACATGAGTTACGTTTGGTTATGCCCCTGGCTCCTTATCTATACCACAAATACCAGACTACGTACAGGAAAGAATTATGCTATAAAACTTGTGCCAATTAAGATTTTGAGTTGATGGATATGACGGGATGGACCCCCAGAAATTAAGCAGCACTGTCCTGCCCTCTTGAGTCCTACCCTTCGTTTGGGGGTATGCAGCCAAAGAGAAATTAGTTATATGAAATATTTGATGATAGATGAGATCTTTTTACATGTAGAAGAGAAGAGAAGAGAAGAGAAGAGAAGGGGGAGATGAATTTTCTGCTCCTCATTGTCATGGCAAATCAAAGCAAAGAAAAATGTGCGCATGAGAAAATCTGAGTGACTGATGTGAAATGCTGATACCCCTTAATTCTAGCCCACTTGAAGAACTAGACACTACTCTCTTTTGTTTTTCCTTTCCAGAGCTGCCATGGGCAATGCTGTTGTTTTCTGAACTGATCACAGACAACCCCCCGGACCCCCCCCCCCCCCCACAACCCATCCACCACCTGAGCTAATCAATAATATATATGGCATTTTCCTTTTTTGAAGGTAAAATTCAATAAAGTTGATTGCAAGTTGACCTTTGCAAACTATTCATGATATTTACTGGTCACATGAACTTGATCTGCATGGGATATATAATATAATGAAATTCAAACTAGCTCTAAGTATAACCATAGATTCTAGTATGTGACATTTACCAACCAGATCATTGAATTAATTTTTTTCTAGTTATATGCCTAATTAATTAACTTATTATGTCGGTGAACGATCCAAATATCTTTAAGTAGTTGAGATATCAAAAATGTCTTAGATTGTACCTTTTGGATGACAAACAGATTGCTTGACGAATCATTATGTAGTAACTTCAACTTTTGGAAATATGCCTCTTTCATTTCCCCATCCCACCGGCCTTTCCCCCATCCCCACCAAAAGGAAAGAAAGAACGGATTTGACAGTGTCAAGTGAAGGGCAAATCCTGAAAACACTACCCTACAAAAACTACAAATTAAGACGCAATTCCTCAAACATAGTCCCCTACCCAAATGTATACATAGGTGGGCCTAAAACGAGAGGGCCAGCTTTTTCTTTGGCAATATATGAAAGTTCCATCATCGCCACCACCATGATCTCGTTAGGTCTATAAAAGATAGCTTGCCCCACTATATATTGCTGGCATGATTTTTAGATCCGGAGGGACCAGGTAGCCTGCTAGGAAAGCCTCCAAGTTAGATGTAACATGAAGCTAATACTGTTAGCTGCTGAGAGAGTCAACAAAAATGATGACAGCATATATGGTTTTCAAATCAAAATTCATACCAAACTTTAGCCTTTTGTATGCTTTTTGTTGTTGGGTAATCAGCCATTCAGCTCAAATTGCTGAAAAAAACTTGGCAAAAAGTCTCCATGTGTGGCCTGTTGGATGATTCTAAAGTGGCTTGTCTAATCTTCTGCTCAATAAAACTCACAAAGGGCAAAACTCGTCTTGTCTGAATCTTTGAGACATTTACCTTCGTTAATTCATTAGCCTTTTTAATTTAACCCTTTGTCACTTTCTCATATATTTTAGGTTCCCGATAATAAGTGTTTATAGACATTGATTAAGATTAGTTAAAATGTTAATTCTAAAATTATTTATACTTTTAATGCATAATTATTTCCATCACATTCAATAAAAGACAATACATTAATTATAAAATTTTTAAAATATCATTTTAATTTATCAATGACACTAAACATTTATTAACATTTTCTTTTTTTTTAACAACTAATTAAGGACTAACACAATTAATAAATTCATGATATAAGAATAAACTAAAAATTGATATCAAAATTTAATTTAATTGATTTATACTATCATCATTAAAATGCGACATCAATAAATTTAAGATTAAAATTTCAACACTCACATTTTTTTTTTTTTTAAACTATAACCTTCTTTTATTAAAAAAAGAAAACATAATAAGCCTAAGAGACACCAATTAAATCATTTTATGGTCTCAAACATGTTTAATTTGAAATAAATTCTTTTTTAATATACATTAAAATGCCCTAATTCAACATGTACCAATATAACTTGGACATGGTTTTCCGAATTCTCTAATTCTCTAATAGAATGTCAAATATAAATTTGAAAATTTTTCTTTTCCTTCTCGACATTACATTTAGCTATGCATTGATATATATAAATATATATATATATATATCAGTATAAATGTGCTCCATGCTCATGTTAATCAAGCTCAACATACTGAAATAGAGAAATGATTTGAAAAATTAATATAAATACTGCACTCTTAATTAATATTATTGTCAACAACAAAGGGGAAGGGAGTTGGAAGAGAAATTATTAAAAAATTTTCACACAAAGAATATAGCAGACAACAAAACATTTTCTTTTTATCTTTTTACTAAATTGAACTAACCCCCATTCACAAACTCAAAAAAAAAAAAAAGAGAAAATGAAATGAAAAAAAATAAGGAAAAGAAGATAAGAAATGGAGTTATATATTAGTTTCTAATTTTACTACAAACTTCGGTTAATCAAGAAGCCGAAGTCACCGTAATAGAAATCAACGGCTGTTCTTCCTCACCCATGATTTTATCATAATCAATAGGTATCGTTGTATCTATGCAGGTCAGCATCTGGGCCCTCTTAGCTTGTAGGTCCCAGTCAGTGGACCCCACTACATACAACATAAGCCCAGCACAACACACTTGGGCGGCAAGTAAGCCCAACCAAAGCCCAGAAAACCCAACTCCGAGATAGAACCCGAGTCCAATTGCCATTGGCATGCCTACCAGGTAGAATGCACTGAGGTTCACATTAGCTGCGGTGGAAGGACGTGCACTCCCTCTGAGGACCCCACATCCCACCGTTTGTGGACAATTCCCAAGCTCGCATAGCCCTAGGATGGGAAGGGCAATGGATGTCAACCGCAGGATCTCGGAGTCAGATGTGAACATCCGGGCCCACTTGTGCCTCATCCCAGAAGCAAACATCGAAGCTGATAGGCCCATCATGGCTGATACGAACACCGCCACCACAGCTGATAACCTCGCTTTATAAGGACGGTTTGCCCCTAGTTCGTTACCAACGCGAGTCGAAACAGCGAAACCCAGTGAAGAAGGGAAAACGTATATCAACGACGTCGTTTGTATCAATATTCCCATGGAAGCAACCGGCGCCTTTGGGTTCATCAAAAGCCCACACATAACTATCATGATCTCATACCACCACCACTCCAAACAAACCGAAACGCAGCTCGGCGCGGCTAGCTTGAGCAGCGGTTTCCAGCCGTTTAAGCACTCCAAACTGGGCTTTTCCCACGTGGGTTCGTGTAGGCCGGAGGCCCAAATATAAGCAACCAAGGAGCTGAGAACAAAGAAGTTGGAAATGGAAGCGGAAGCGGCAACGCCGGCGACGCCGAAGTTGAAATGAGAGACGAGTAAGAAATTGATGGGTAAATGGAGAATGGTGGCGATGAGGGTTGCAAAAGTAAGCGGGTGAGTGATGCCTTGAGCGCGAAGGTAAATGCGGATTGGGTGAATGAAAGAGTTGGTGAAGAGGTCAGGGAGGGAAAAGAGTAAGTACGTCTGGCCGATGCGGGTGATATTAGGATCTTGATGAAGATAAACCAAAATGCTGAACATGTTTATCCAAAGAAAAGAAATTAATATGGACGTGAATAAGAGGAAAATAACAAAGCGGTGAAGGGTTATAGATAAAAGTTTAGGCCTTTGAGCGCCAAAGGCTTGGGAACAGAGAGGTTCCATACCTAAAGCAAGGCCAGAGAGAACTGAGTAGCCAGTGATGTTAGCAAAGGCTATAGCCAATGAACCAGCGGCAAGTTGGATATCACCAAGAAGGCCAAGGAAAAGCATGGAAATAAGGGAACGAGAATAGAGAATGAGACCGGTTAGGGCTATGGGAAAGGCTAGATTAAAGAGTGACTTAGCTTCTGTTATGATCTCAGAGATTGAAGGGTATAAGTATTCAGATCTTTGGTGTTCCTGATGCTTTTCAGTGTCTTTTATGGAGTTGGGTTGTGGTAGAAGATTGAAATAGAGGTGGGTTTGAGATGATTTCTCAGTTGAAGTAGATATAGCGGTTGTGCTTTTGTTACACATGACGACGACGACGATGATGAAAAGAAGGAAGAAGAATAAATGATGATGCAAAATACTGCTTGTTGTTTTTCGTTTCAACTCTCCAGAGATACTCTCATAAAGAGCGCTCTTTTCCTTCCTTTCGCTCTCTCTAACTTTGTATGGATGCTAAGTTTCCCTTCAAGGATAGACAGATAGAATGGTTTGATTTTCAGCAGAGATGGGGTATATTAATAGATGAGTTGAGTTGGAGTTTTTTTTTTTAATTCATTTTTTTTATTTCCTTTCTCTTCTTTCCTTTTTTTCCTTTCCTCCTTTGCAATATTTATATATATATATACATATATATATATAACGTATGAGTACGCAGTATAAAATATATTATATATATATATATATATGAATGGGGTGATGTAGATATAAATACTGTGATTTGTTGTTTTTTTAAAGGTGTAATCATTTTTGTTACTTTATGTGGTTTAAAGAAAGAGAGACAAAGATTGTCAGATTGGTTCAATTTCCGATAAGTGAAATGGTGTTTTTACGAGAGATTGTTCCTGCTGATTTTTATTCTTCCGGCAGCTCACCTCTGCTCTGTTTTTCTGCTCTCTTCCCTTTCCCTTCTCTGCTACATATATAATAGTAAGATATACATAAATTTATTACTACAGCTAGCTTTTCACTCCTCTTATTTACCCTTTCATGGTAGTTCTGATTCAGTATCTGGACCCTTCGAATGTTTTGACTTCTCCTGTAAAGCGATTGGAGAAGTCCCCACTGGGAGAAACCACGGACACGGAGGTTCTGCAGTTGTCACTATGTTATGACAACTTTGCTTAAAATAAGTTTTTGGGTTGAATATTTATATTTTGTACGTTGCATTTAATATTGTTATTTTATGACTAATTTGAATATTTGTATTTCCTTTGCAGCATTTTTTGTAACCATGTGTTAACAGAACGATGACTAGAATAAAATTGGTTAGTGATAGAAAAAATAAAGCACAAAACTAGAGAGATGTAATGACACGTGACAGGCCACACGTGCAGTTAGGAATTTGCTTTTGCCTTTTAGGATTTTTTTTTTCATCTGGCAGTCCTTAAAGGGCCGTGGAGCAGAGACAGAGTGGGCAGGCTAGGCTAAGAGAGAGGAGGAAGACGAAGACGAACTGAAACAGATGGGGAGTGGGACTAGACTGAGAGGACTGGTATTAGAGTTGGCAGTGTCAATTTATCTGATTGGACGACTGAAATCAGTCTGCCAAAAGCTTGGACCCCGCATCAAAGCCGGTCAAGAAACTTTTGGCGTCAGCTAATGCATCCCTAAAATAAACTGGGATTTTACTGCCAAAAAATGCTGTTGCTGGCATTTGCCCCCACCTGAAACACGTCATTTCTCGTCACCCTTCCACTCTAGTTTGTTTTACTTTAAACTCAACCCCCATAAAGAAAAAAAGGATACCTAGAACTTATCTAATTTCTGGTAGAAATGTACGAAGTAGGAAAGTAATTTTTATGTGGAAGATTTGGAGACGGGTAAACTTTATTTTTGTCACGTTTTGTTTTAATGCATGTGATTTGGAATAATAATGATGGTAATTACAAGATTTTCACGTGCAGGAGAAAGGGAGAGTCAAAAAAACAGCTGGATACGTAAATTAAGTACGTGATCAATGGAGGACAAAGAGGCAGGCAATAGTCGAGATCGCTGGGATTTCCCCAAACCGATTGAAGAAAGGAGACATGCAACTTTTTCTTTTTTCTTTTTTTTTACAAATTTTTACTTCTCCCGCTTAATCTGTGCATCTCTTCTTTAATTTTGTTTCGCTCTTTCTTTCCCTGTCTATGTTGAGTTGGGTTTAATTGACTGTTGTTGTCGTTTTGTCTTAGAAAAACTGGACGAGAGCCACTCTTGAAGTGAATATGACCCACATATTTGGCAGCCCCACCTCCTTTCCTTCCCCCATCTGACATTCGCTGTCCCTGGCCTTCCTGCACCACTTCTTGTGCTTCTCTAACGGGAGCGCCTTTGTGTTTTCCCTGAGCTGTGCCGTTTTTGTGGGCTCCCTTTCATTGAAAAAGTTTTTTTGTCTTTTTCTCGCCATTCCTGATGCTTGATTTTGGACCATTTCATTCCCAACTTGGCTAAGATATATATATATATATATATTTATATATATGCTCCAAACATCATCCGTTCCCACTTCCCATCCCATTGTTGATATATATACCTTCCCTTAGTATACGTACCCCAGCCAGCCCTGCCATTTACATTCCAATGACATATACCACCAATTAACAAATTGTGGGGAAGACTCTTCTGCAGCTTTATGCCTCCAAATAAATATCAGAGATTCAAACAAGTTGACAGACATGTTTTCTAGTCTTAATAACAATTCAGAATTAAGGCATTCAGTTTTGTTAAACCATCAACATATACATTCTAATAATAGGATTTATCTCCAACAAACCATTGACGGTCAAAGATCAGCTAATGATAAAATTGGAAGGTGGAGTATAAAAGGCATTGAGAGGGACAGGGCATGCAAGATCGCCATGGTGTTGAACAGCTTCAAAGTTTCAGTTTGAGAGAGTATATTCCTATTCGGTTGTTAATGAGTGGGAGGGCCCCGCATTGAACATAGTAGGGGTATCTTTTTGGGGGTGATAGGCTGCTAATTTTGTCAGATTGAGATTGCCATTGATGATGGATGCACATGATGATGATTTCACGAATTTACAAAAAGTACGCTTGCTGCATGGTTTCCTGCCAATTTTCTGTGTTGTACTTATTGTTGGAAAGAGCATGTATTCTTCCTGTAGTTCTATGTCCCACTATGTATGGCTCTGTTTGGTCCAAAAACTTGTCTTGAAGATATGCATGGTTATGAAAGTTTCTCTCATTGCCAAACTAGAGTTTTTTGCTGTTTTCAAATCGTCAAATACTGTACTAATTAAATTGCTTCTTGATTTAATGCATATTGTTACGAGTCAATTATTTGTTGGACGACTATGCTTGAACAGTGAAATTAAAGCGTGGCTGCATGCCCCATCGACAATAATGGTTCTCTAACAAATCCTAGAAAACAATGGCATCAAAGTTACCACTAATGCGACATTTTCCAAACCTTGTGCTTTGAAAAAGGTTTCCTAATTTATAGTTTGGTTTGTTTGCAAGCATGCAGAATTGCCTAGAGGAAACGTGATTAAAAAACCCATATATCGAGGACAAATAACAATCTAAAGAACAAAAGAGATTAAAAAAAAAAGGTCAATTCTAGGAAGGAATTTTTTCTAATAGGATCACTTTTGGGGGTACGTATCCTTAGTTCTTATACAAAAAAAAAGTTGCAATTAAATGATAAGAGTTGCATGTATTAAAATTAAATTTTAATAAAAATAATTAATGTATGAATCAATTGAATTAAATTTTAATTTTTAAATTCAAGTATTTATTATTATTCATGGAATATATATGATCACCCATATTATATAAGTTAAAGTAAAATTAATTTCCTAGCCTTGGACTCCTAATTTGAATCAACGGTATGCATATATACCATCCTTAATTAAATATTAATTGATTATAGATGCTTACTTAAGCATATTAATTAAAAAAGTCTCTAATTAGAATAACTCTACACTACCCTGATAAAAAAAATTTTCCAAGCAATATTTAATATTCTTTAAAGCATATTAAGGCTCTTTCTATCTATACTATATCCCTTTAATGATATATGTGAAAATACCAAACAAAAGGAATAATATTAATAATAATCTCTTGCGTGCATGGGTCCATTATGCACTATCCAACATACTTTAACAAGATAACATAAAAATATATCTTGGAAGTATTTTAAATAGACTTTCTTCAGGATGACCAGGAGAGATGCCAATAATCACTTGACATGTTGGCGTTAGTAAACTTCGCTTTGAAAATGCTAGTCAAATATTCCCTTCCTGCAACGGTATGGACGGCTAATTTTAGATATGATATGATAGATAAAAAAGAATTAAAAATAATATGAAAATAATATGATCTAAAATTTAAATAATTTATATGTAAATTTAATAAAAATAAAAAAATATATTTTATATTTAATGTATCAACATATATAAAACAGAAATTTAAATTTAATAACAATTCATATTTATTTATGTTTTATTTCCCAATGAGAAAAGAGATATATTATATACTTACCAAAAATAATGAGAATTGGACGAGTGGCAGTACCCCTAGACGTGTGAGAAGTAAGAACCAGATACTTTTTGTTTTTACAAGAGCAATCTATCCTCTAGTCTCCCCCTTTTTACGTATCGTATTCTATTTGCATTTAGAATTCTAAGAAAGTTTCGTTTCGGAACTAAATACCCTTTTTAAAACCACAACTCTTACAGTTAAACAAACCCGATCCTGATCTTGTTTTGTCTCCTTTTCTTTTCTTTTCTTTAAGTAATGATCACAGCTCAACTCAGAACATGATCAGCACACCCTACCCCAATTTAGACGTGGCAGGTAATAACTTGGAGGATTAGCATTACTTTTTAGTGAAAAAACGAAAAAGGATAAATTTATGGTTTTGGGTTGCTGTTTTCATCTATTTTATAAAGGTTCAGGATGTGTAGGTAATGATCAGTTTTGAGCCACAAATAAGTATCTGCAGATTCAGATTTCAGCATCATAATGAACGAGGCTAAATGTTACCGGGGGTAGATAGGTCCCATATATGCAGTTGCGGCTGCAGATCGAATGCTTCAAGGAATTTAAGCAAAACACTCGAAAAGGAAAAGACACTTGCTCTAACAGCGCATTTGCTTTAGTAAAAGTGCAGTTAATATTAGATGTTGACGCCAACCAAATATAATTGTTTTCTGGCTCAGCTAAAACTTGTCAGGACTCAGCAAAAGCTGGACACAAATGGATGTTATAATATATATGAAGATTGAATCATGCTCAAAAGCTACACTTTTTGAACACATATATCAGCCTTTTTTTTTTTGGGGGGGGGGGGGGGGGATTCCGATTTCAGATTATCAAAAGGGAAAATCAACTGTGCTGGTATAACTGTCAAACGAATACCAGAGAAAGAAATATAGGCACGTGATGTATGAAAGGTTCTAGCAGATAGGGCTGATCAAGGGGGTCTTAAATTTACAAGGCCAGCTACTTGCCTCACACGCACAGCTCATCTTCACCTCCAAATTCCAAATTCCAATCAAAAGGTTCGAATGCAAAGAACCTGTATTTATCATCCATTTGCTTGCAGACATCTCAAACTCAACATGGAAAAGAAAGTCCCCTAAGAGTAGGAGGTTAGCTTGCTTTGCTCTATAAGGCATATTTTAATTTCCTAGTACACATTTGAATGTCCTTTGTGTATGGGACTTGAAATCCTATACTTCCTATGATTTTCTTTCTTTTTGTTGAAAAAAGTTTAGGATAAAAGAAAACTTATCTATTCCAAGATCAGGATAAATTATAAGCTTTAAATAAGGTTTAGATTGGATTTATAAATTATTCACTAGAAAACACAGCTGACAATAAAATTTAAATTTACAAGTGAAATATTTGAACTTTGCCAATTCAATCAACCCTTTGCATGCTTTCCTTTTTTTCCAATTCCCTTTGCTTGCAAGCTTTGGTGTGAGGGTTTTGTGATTGAGCTGGTAAGTTCTAAAAACGGGTCATTAAAAGCAACAAAAACAGGACCATGTTGTAAGAGACCTACACGCATGTCATATCCCACGTGGGGCGCATTTCTGCGCATGATTTGTGAGACATTCTTGTCTAAATCCACAGCATTGATGACCTTTCTTTACTTAATTCAAATATGCATTATTCCACCCAAGCCACCCCATCTTCATGTTTAGCTTGATTCAGACCTTTTTCAACAACAAAAGTCCAAAACCCATTTTCAGTTTTCCATGTCAAAAAAAAAAAAAAAGCTTTGATTTGATTTTTAATGAGTTATATTTTTAATTACTAGTAGATCATCACACCTTGGACTACGACCTTCACTAGAGCCACAATGTTTGACCCCACTTATTGTTCTTCAAGACTCAAGCTGGGAAGAAAAAACGACAGGAAATTTGGTAAAATGGATTTGCTTTGATTCGATTTAGACCGTTGGAGGAATTATATTCAGTCGGAACGTACATGTGTTCTACAAATTGAACACATTTTTTTATGTTTTGGATTCCTTGATTGATGCAGTAGTGATCGGAGAGTGATCAGCCAAGAATAATTCAATTTCCTCAGCTTCTGATTCTAAATGATTGCAAATCCCACTCATCAGCCATTGGTGTCCCTAGCTAGCTCCAATCACCAGCTAAAATCTTCCATTAAGGAGAGAATATAATATTTTTTTTCTTCTTTAAAGAAACATGCAATCTCCATATAAATAAAAAATTCTATAAACTAATCTTCGTCGTACAATTAATATTCTTCATATTCATGTCAAACATTAAAAAAAAAATACAAGTCAACAACATCAATTAATTACTCCACCATTTGGATGAAACAAAAGAGAGATGATCTCCCATATATATCGAAGGCATAAGGGGAAAATGGTTCGCCATTAATATACAAAAACTCAAGGGAATGATGAGAATTAGATATGACAGGATAGACGAATCACCAATGATGTTGGAAAGGTATTATTGCTTGGAGAATATAGAAGATCGTAGATATTTTTTGTTTTTTTTCCGTTAAATCTATAGATACCACGATTTGTTCACTGGACCAAAATTGAAGGACAACAGAAAACATCTTTGCTTTGATATTTGATTCCTTTATTCTCGCAATGTTCTTTTTGACAATTTGGAGATTATGACAATTCAAAGAAAACATCCTCAGCGTGGAAAAGTTATCCTTATTGTCGTGCAGGAATCGATATGAACTCCAAACTATTTGATCCAAATGAGCCATATTTAATTCTTTAATTAGAAAAAGGAGATTGGAAATAAATCAATTTAATCTTCCTTCAAGAAGAAGTTGTACATGCACCAATCTAAAAGGTTGATGAAATGATAATGTGATTGATCAATGCATGTAAATCTTAGTTAAACAAAGCAAACGTGTATCATCTCCGAGTGGATTAATACATTTAATTTAATAAGTGAAAACTTAAAATTGAAAAGAAACGAAGTAGAAATTAATCTATAGTTTAGGTGTATAATATTTTGAAAATCATAATAGCAAACATATGGATATCCTTAAAATTAAGGGATGGTAATTAGTTTAGAATGTCTCTTTAACCTAAGATTTAAGACAATGACAGATTTTTCAGGTTGATTAACGAGGAATCTCATGTTGGTTAATCTATGTTTAGCTTTGACGAGAAACAAAATCAGTCCCCTTTCCTAATGTTTCAATTGAGATTCAAAATGATGTGATGGAAAAAGATTTGCACCTATCGAGGTAAAAAAAATTAAAACCAACGACATAATTTCTGGGAGTCGGCAGCCAAATCACCTAAAGTAAAGATATATATGGACAAAGGGAGGGGGCATGTTTAGCCTAAGCTCCCCAAGGGTACAGTTCAATGGTGTAGAAACTTTGATAGGCAATTACAAAGTCACATGCAGCTAGAAATTTAAGTCATTTACAACTAATTGCCAGTTGATTTGATGTACCTCTTAGCCATCCAATTTTCAACCTAGTAACGTTATGTTTGGTTTCATTATTAATTAAAAAAATGTTTAAATCATTTAGTGGGAGTTTGGATTTCACTACATTTTTAATATAGTGTAATTGAGTTTATCGTATTACTAATTAAATTTAAATGTCAACTCGAATGAAATTCATTCAATATAAATTTTTTTATGATTTTTTTTTAATTGTAGCTATAATAATTTTTTTTTAATCGTAATTACAATAACTTTTATTACTGTTTTCAATCTCATTAAAATCAATTTTATCGTCCATCCAAATATACTCTTACTCATTAAGTTTTCACCACTTAAAATATCTCTTAAAGTTATACAAAATTTTCACAATAAATAATTTTTTATTCTTCTCATTTCACATCATACATGTTTCTTTACCCTATTATTTGAAGGAGAACAAATTTGACTAAAAAATCAAATTTATTATGCTTGAATTTCATCTCATTTCATAAAAATAATTTTCACTATGACAGGTTTATTCCTTGAATAATCCCACTATTGCAAATAAGTTCAATTTTAAACACCTCCATCAATTAGGTGTTATTGTTTCGCTTGGAAGTTATATACTTTCTTTTTGTTATTTGTCTTTAATTTTATATTATTTTTTGTAAAAGAAAAATAAAAACATTTACCAAAAGGAACCTATTTGTTTAGTAGGAGAGGCATTTTCATCCAAAAATTATTATTGTTAATTTCCCCTAGTGCATATATAGTAATAATCTCTTTTCCCATTTATATGAACTCCGATAAATGATTCACATGTGGCAATTTGGAAGGTAATATTCATTCGTATGATAATGAAATGCATGACTAATCATTTTTCACATGTTTTAAAGATCCATAAATCTAGCTTACTTTTCGTGTTACACACCATTACAGAAAATTATTATCATTATTATTAAGCCCGATCATTGTCGACTATAACATTGGGCCTCATACCCATAATAGTTTCTAATTTTGTTGTGAATCATAGTCCATTATGAGTGCATATTGACGTATATTTATTTGAGCAAAAAATATTTTATAAAATTCAAAGAGATTAAAAAAGTTTATAAGTATTGATATTTTAGTTAAATTAATTTATTAATGTGTTTGTTATGTTACGTAATTAGTAAATTTTATTTTAATTTATGAATGTAAATCGATTGAATCGAATTATGTTAAATTATTATATCTTATATAATTGATTGATTGTTTAATATTACTTTCATTAACTTGATTATTTAATTTGATTGAAGATTTTTTTGGCCTAACAGCATTTTCATCCAAAAATTACTATTGTTTAATTTCCCATGATGCATATATAGTAATAATCTTCTTTACCATATATGTGAACTCCGATAGGTGATTCCCATGTGCCAATTTGGAAAGTGATATTCATTAATATCACAATGAAATGCATGGCAAATAATTTTCACATGTTTTAAATGTCTATTATTTTCTAGCTCACTTTTTCGTGTTACACACATTTACAAAATAAAAAAAATAAAAAATAAATTGATTTTAACATCATAGATCTCTCACCCTTTTGCTTCCCCTCACCTAATTCCTCTCCAAAAAATAAGAAAAGTGATTGTATCACTCCCTGTTTCAAATCTTTTTTCTTCACAGATTTGGCCAAAATATTATTTTGGAGTAAAAATTTGAGAATCCTCAAATTTTTTTTTTTTTTTATAAAAGGTTTAAATGAGGGGAGTCTTTTACAATGTAGGGTCAAAACATACTAAAAGTTTTAGTAAAAACTTAAATTAAATTTATAAATCATTCATAAAATATTATTAACAGAAAAAAAAAAACCTAAATCTTACAAATAAAATATTTAATTTTACTATCTTAACCAATCCTCATTGCTGGAGGTGAGATTCGTAAAGTTGTTAACATGTTATTAGTAAGAAAAAGAAAGGATATCGCCAATTAAGCCCAACTATAGCCCACGATAAATTTGGGCCTTCTTCCCACAATAGTTTCTTATTGTTTTGCGGACCGTGGTCCATTATCAACTCCCTGTCTAAATCTGGAAAATTTTGAAGTGAATGGCGAGGGATGGAACCTGAAAAAGGACCTGAACCCAAGAGGAGGAAAATCCATAGGCCACCGCCTCGCCTGTAATGTCCTTTATACCGCTCTCTGGTTCGGGGTATTTCCTTTTTCGTTTTTTTTTTTTTTCGTTTTAGAGAAATATACTCATCTGGGTTGCTTGATGCTAGGCTTGAACATGAGGCTCTGCAATGATTTTTTTTTTTTTTTGAAATTGTAAGTCGTCTTCGCTTGCAAATTGAACTTGGTTTTTAATGATGGGGTTGGAGCTAGAATTAACTTATCAACAATTCTTTTATATTTGGGAATTGAAGCTTGAACATGCATAAGATATGATGATAATAAATGGAAAATTTTAAATGTGGATTGTCAAACTAGGGTTTGGGAATTGGGAAATAGGTTGAGTGAGGCACTCATTTGATGTTATATGGGAGATTTAGAATGTGGGTTATATGTTTGAGTGATGGAAACACATTTATGATATTCAGTTTTTTTATATACATTTTCTTTTATTGGATGAAATCCTTGAAATATTACTTCTGTTTTTTGTTTATGTTCCTTCAATGACATATGATATACTCAGTTTAAAAAACTTGTGAAAGTTTAAATTGCTATTGAGATAAATGGTAGGCAGTTCCATTGTAGGAATTTCTTTCTGAATAGTGAAAAGATTTGGCTCTTATCCCCTTCCTCCTCAATTTCCAAACTCTCCAGCAATGTGCCAAAAAGCCCCATAAAATAAAAGGAAAATAGAATTGAAATTCTTGCAAGTTTGTTGTGTTATGTTGTTTCATTTTTCTGTGGCTTTGTTCATATGCTATAATTCAGAGGACCAAACTCTTGATATCTTATTTAGAATTTCTGCTGGCAGGAATGTCTTTCACCTGCTTTAAAGACTCCCAAAGATGCAAAATCGAGAAGTAATTTGACAGTAAAGCCTTTGCTCTTTCTTCTATTCTCATGAAGTTTCATTTTTCAACTTTTTAAACCTTGGTAAAGTTCTAATGTGAATGGATTTGCAGGTTCGAGGGTCACAAACAAGTGGTATTAGTTTGAGAATCCAACAAGCCAAAAACTTTGCAGTAGCTCAGGCAAAACAAGATGGCAGCACTGGAAATTTTAAGAAATTTGATCCACAGTATCGGAATTTTCTGGTGCCAGTTGTTCCATCTCGAGCAGAACTAATTGGATAAGTACTTCTTGTACCTTATTGATTTTGATCTATTTTTATCTACAGACAATGGGATCATAATATTTCTATAAACAAGTAGATTATGTTCTTATCAGTTCTTGCTTGTACCATATGGTTAAGACACTACAAGAAAATGACATATTAACGGTAATTTTACAAGATTTTTCACTTACAAACGTTGCTAATTTTTGTGTTTTTATAAAACTTAAAATGTTTATTATCAAAATATCATTAAATATTCAAATAGCGGCGTTATTACTTATAAACGTCACTAAAGATAAAAGTTAGCAGCGTTTATCGACTAAAATGACTTAAATAATCATTTCTAAAAAATTAGACTAATTATTAAATATTTTTTTTACAGAAAATACATTGAATAATCCTCTCATAAAAAATAGATAGAGGATTATTGAAGGTGTTTTTGATAGACATCGCTTTGAATAATCCTCTCATAAAAAATTAAAACAATTATTGAAGGCATTTTCTGCAAAAAAAATACCTTCAATGATTCTCTTAAAAAATTGTAAAAGATTATTAAATGTATTTTTTGTCAAAAAAACACCTTCAATAATCCTCTTCATTTTTTATAAGGGAATTATTGAAGATGTTTTATGCAAACAACACCTTTAATAATCCCCTTCAATTTTTTATGATGGATTATTGAAGGCATTTCAAGCAAAAAAAGCCTAGAATAATCTGCTCATAAATAATAGAAGCGATTGTTGAAGGCGTTTTCTATAAAGAAATGTCTTCAATAATTCTCCTATTCAATAATTCTCCTAAAAAATGGTAAAAGATTATTGAAGACATTTTTAGTAAAAAACACCTTCAATAAATTGTCTATAAATTTATCAAAAATGAAATAGTGTTGTTGGTTAGAGTACATAGTCCTTAACTATAAGGTTGTAGGTTCGATCTTTTCTTTTAGCATTTTATGAATTTTTTAAGGATTTATTGAAGGCGTTTCTGGCCAAAAACGCCTTTAATAATCCTTCAAAAAACCTAAAAATTGCTAAAGAGATTGATCGAACCTACAACCTTATAATTAGCAATCGTATGTAATGCTACTCCATTTTTGGCAATTTCATTGACAAAAAGATTTATTAAAGGCGTTTTTGGTCAAAACGCCTTCAATAATTCTTTATAATTTTTTAAGAGAATTATTGATGGCGTTTTACGCTTTCAATAATCACCTCTATTTTTTATGAGTAGATTATTCAAGACATTTTTTAACTAAAACACATTCAATAATGTCTCATAAAAAATTGGAAGAAATTATTGAAGGCGTTTTCTGCACAAAATACCTTCAATAATTCCCTCTAAAAAATTAGATGGGATTATTAAAGGTATTTTGACTAAAAAACGCTATCAGTAATTTCCTCTAAAAAATTAAAAAGGATTATTAAAAGCGTTTTTTATCAAAAATACATTCAATAATCTCCTCATCAAAATTTAAGAGGATTATTGAAGGTATTTTTTACAGAAAATACCTTCAATAATCCCCTAAAAAAATTTAGAGGGATTATTGAAGGTGTTTTTGGGTAAAAAACGTCTTCAATAATCTTTTTATCAAAATTTAAGAGGATTATTGAATGCTTTTTTTTATAAAAAAAAAAACATTCAATAATCCTCTCTAAAAAATTTAAAAGGATTATTGAAGGCACTTTCTACCTGAAACACCTTCAATAATCATTTTTGCAAATAGTGACATTTTTTTAAGTAAACGCCGGTATCGTGAAAAAATGATACGGCTAAATTTTTTTTCCAAAATTTAAACCCCCTATTTCTTTTCTGTAATTTTCTTTCTTTCCCTAGCTTTTTTCTTGGAAAAGAATGGCCAGAAAGAAAATTCAAATCAAGAATATTAACAACGTAGCAACAAGGCAGGTGACTTTTTCATGAGCTTTCCACTCTTTGCGATGCTGAGATAACTCTTCTAGTCTTTTTAGCCACTAGAAAGCTCTTTGAGTACTCCAGCATAAGGTTGCTCTCACTTATCTCATATCTATATATGAATGCTTTGCTTTGATTCCTGCTTTATCTCTGCTGGTTTAATATAGAAATATTTGTCTGCTGTTCGATTTAATGTGTTGAATGTGCTTGGGCGAGTGTGAGAGAAAATGAGAAACGTAATTGTTTTGAAAGAAAATTTTTCAAATAAAGAGAACTGTATAAAAGTATAAATTCATGATAAGTGAATATACTTGAATCATATATTTTATTACAAAAAGAACTTCTTTTAATAATTTGTCAGAAGCTTAAAGGTTTTAAGGTGGAAAGCCATGGTTTCACATGAATGTCTGTATGATATTTGTTGAGCTTGTTCGTACTTTCTTGAACCTTGTTTAAGTCATATTTTATGACTAATTAGCTGTCATATAAGAAGTTCATGCTTTTCATATATCTTTTCTAGTGCAACTTAGAGCACAAACTGATATTTTACCTTTCATTTTTCTTGTCAGAACTTGATTTGCTGTCATTTTCATTTTTTCTCCAATCAAATAGCTTTTAATTTCAGTTTTCTTAATTGAGTCTTATTACAATTTTAGGTTGCCTACATTCTTTTTTAATGTTCTTTAAGATTTTCAAAATTAAATTTACAAATTCTCATGATTTCCTTTCAAATTTTGTAAAATTCACGTTGAACTCAAATCTGGTTTCAAAATCGCACACATGACCTATCTTCAGTGCTTTGATCAAAACTCAGTGAATTCTACTTGATTTGCTTCAAAATTTTTTTCCTAGATTCCTAGTTCATAAAGCTATAATTCAGTAAAAATTCAGCCTTAAATTCCATATGTACAAGTACAGTTAAATCTTTAAAGTTAAGGTTGAATCCAAAAGGCAAAAATGATCCATGCATGAGACTTGATGAATGATGATCCTCTCTCATTCTAGGTGTTCGATTTGATTCTCTCATATTTTACATTCTTAGTTTTGCATGTTTACTCATTATTTTTTAATTGATTGCATTTATTTTCATGAATTCAATTGGTGTTTGGATAGATTTAGTTGTTAATGCTCTGATTTTCTTTATTTTAAGTATCACTTTAGTTACTAGTTCATTAAGCTGATTTTTTTCTATTTTGCTGTCATTTTCTTGTTGAATTTTGTAACAAACTTGATTGATGAATTGTAGCAGTTGAAAGGTGCATACTATAGACCTATCAACTTGGATTGGTCCTTTATACTTTTTTCAATTACTTTCTAATAATTCCATGATACAGTTTTTGCTACTGCTAATTCAATTCAAGGTGCAACATGGTTGATTTATCCATTACACAATTTGTATTTTTCTCTTGAAACTCTGTTGCGTGGTCATTTTATTTTGAAGAATTTGTTTATTTCTCTCTTAAAGCATTTGAATCCATTTATTTTTATGAATTTATTTATGAGCTAAAAATATGATTTGAAATAGTTTATCTTATAAACTTCATTGAATCAAATAATCTTTATCTTTTTTTCAATGCAATCAAACATGAACTTGATTGAAGATCTATCTCTTAGCCTTTCATATATTCTCTTTCTCTCAAATTATATGGCACTGCATTTCAAGTCTAGCAATTTCATAACGATATATGCAAAATGGAAGAATTATGATTATGAAAGGCATTTTCGTGAAATGCACTCAAAGAAGGAGTGTACATCATTTTACCTTGTGCATTTATCTTGATCATTAGCTAAAAAATATATCTTAGTTTGTTGCTTTGGTTAAATTTGTTTCTATGTTATTTCTGCATATATGTAACAATGAGATCTTGTATATCTTCCTTGATTTTATCTTGCATTACAAAGTTTATGATATTTTTTATAGCTTATCCAGTTACATTTTTCAATCGAATGAAATATGAAATTGTGGAGAAGATAAATGAAATGTACTGTGATGCATTTCTAACAACACATTTTGAGGTTCTTAGAGAAATATTCTCTTTAGCAATGGAAGCCAAGAGGAGGAATGGGCATTGTAGGCTTCATTCAAAGTAAGTGTGACTCGTTCCATGGAGTCTGTTGATGGGCAATAGGAAAACAAATGCAAAGTGAAATGTTATTGTATGTATTAAACTTTGTATTACATGCATATTGGAACAAATTATGTATTTAGATATTTAAATATTTATAATATTCATTTTATGAATTTAAATTCATTTTTATTTCTTTTAACAATTTTTATTTAATTATAATAAATATTAAAAGAAAATTAAAAAAAGTAAAATTTTTTATTTAGCAACGTTTGTATTTAAAAATATCACTAAATGCTGAATTTAGTGATGTTTATATCAAAAAACACCGTTAAATTTAGTGGTATTTTTACTACAAATGTCGTTATTTACAAAATTTAACGGTATTTTTTTTATACAAACGCCACCAATTTAATTACGTTTTTATGATAAAAATACCACTAAATTAACGATGTCTCAAAAATATAAATATCACTAATATGGCGACATTTTTCATATGCAAACGTCGTTAATATAGTGGTTTTTTTTAATAAAAATACTACTATTTTTCACAACACATGTATAACCGATATTTTGAATGTCATTTTTCACAAACGTTGTAAATCTTATAAACGTCACTAAACATTAAAAAAACACCACTAAAAACCTAAACTCATATAGTGAGATTCTTCTATGCCTGTCATTTCTCTTTTATTTGCCTATAAGAACTCCAATAGTACTGAGCCTAATCACAGAAGTATATGCTAATTACTCCTGCAGAGGATTTTGTCTTCCAATTCCATCCCCGCAGAAAAGATCAGAAACACCTTGAAACAAAATGGAGTTTGTGGATCATGGGGCCAACAGCGACACGGCATAATGCTTATTCACGCATCTGATCTGAGCACCAATAAGTAAAGAAAAGAAGAGTAACCAAAAAATAAAAAAATCATGATACGAGAATGCAAACAAAAGGTTTCCATGTTCCACTTGATCACATTTGCCTTGTAATAACCCAAAAGCTTTTGAGTGCCTACTTTTTTTTTTTATGGATTCCCGGCTTTAGTGGAACTGAAATCCTACCGTAAAAGCAACGACAAGTATCTAGTATACGTGGAACCGATCTTAAGTCTGACGCTTGCTTTAATAAGAAGTTCCTACAATGTTGAACATGAGAATCATTTTCATTCTATACAGTGTTGTAATGGAACTGGTATTATGAGAGGAAATATTAATAATCTTAAGTTTGACGTCAAATATTTTGGCGCCGCTTGGTTTTTGCCTTTTAATGTGGATTTTTTTTGTTGTAATTAAGCAAATGTACCAGTTCCACCGCTCCACCTATGGATATCTGGCACCGACAGTCGCGGGCCAGGCGCCCGCTAAGCACTAACTCGGTAGCTATATCGGATTTTATATATTTATATTGAATTTTAATTCATATTAATATAAAAATATAAAAAAATTTTTATTAAAAATTTATATATAATTTTATTAAAATTTTAAATTAATCTTTTTTATATATTATTTTTTATTATATTCGTATCATTATTATATTATATTTTATATTACAAATCAATAATTGAGGATCGATTCTCTTCATATTTCTATTATATCTTCTCTTTTTATGTAAGCTTTTTTTTCGAACATTGCATCCTTTATGCCTTCAGCTATTTATCTGTTCCAAGATTTTAAAATTTGTACACTGCTTTTCTTATCTACTGCTAAAAGGCTTTAGAATCAAATTCCCATAAAAGGAAACTTTTGATCTATGGTTAAAATAATTTTGGTGCGTGAGAAAATAGATCTTTTAGAAGAAATGAATTTCTTTTGAATGATCGATGAAAAATTCGATCTCAAAATAACGTAATGAAAATATTTTTTTTTATCAAATAAAGTGTTAAAATGGTCTCTTAATACCAAGTTAATCATTCAAAAGAAATGCTCTAACTCCAAATACTTGAAAAATGAAAAGCTCTAATCACAATTACCATAATTAAAAAATATGCTTTAAATGCGTTTTGGGTTTTTGACTTTCTTATTGATCTATATAAACAAATATCAATAACTTCATTAGAAAGAAAATCGCAAATTAAAATCTTATTTTTAATTTTTTTCATAATTTTTAATATCAATAAATAAAAAAATATTTTACAATAAAAAAGTTTACGAACAAGTGTCCAATCTCAATAAAAAAAAAAATCATTCTACCTTTCATTAATTAGTTAACGTGATTGTGGAATGATCCATCATTATCTTAGTAAAATGATCTGTATTTGTCAAAGAAAACAAGAATTGATTTTTTCTCATCATTCAAACCATGTGCCTTACTTCCAAAATTTGGTGACTAAATTAACTACCAGCGTGCCAACAAGAAATCAATACTGATGAGATGCTGAGTCAGATTTTTCTGTTGGCTTTTTCATACCAAACTGTGGTCAATCCTGGTTTCAAAATTAAATGGATGATTAATTGTAATAGTTGAACTAATAATAGAATTTTAATTCAGTTATTTATATAATTATTTTAAAGGATTATATTTAATTATATACATTTTTGTTGTAAAATGTAACTTTTATTCTATTATAATATATTGTCATTTATGCTGCAAAAATAAAATATTTTGTAATATATATACAAATTATTTCCAAAAAAATATTATAATAAAGATGAAAGTTTTGTAGTGAATTTATTAATTTCATTGTTACTCCGATATTCTATAATTAGCCATTACTAAGTACTCATTTGGCAAATCTCATGTGTCAGTCCATTTTCCAAGAACCTAACGAAGTTTTTATTTTTAAATTCTTTTATTTTATAAAATATATTAATAAAAATAAAAAATGTTTTTTTTTTTTCACAATTATCACATCATATTTTTTATCAGTTATCACATCACATAGTATTTAACAATAAAATTAAGGAACAAATTGATTAAAAAAATAAAAATAAAAAATTTATTTTAAAATTTTATTAAAAAAAATATTGTTTTAAAAATGTTTTTACCTTTTATCTAATTTGTAAAAAAATAAGATTCCCAAATTGTAAAAGTCTGCACATGCATGTCAGCCAAAACCAAACACCTGTCGTTCCTTAAACTCTCAGTCAGAACCACAAAAAGTGAAAAAAGTTCCAAACTGACAGGTCATTATCGTAATTCCAACCCAATATCATGTCCACCTTCCCAACGCCTCACTTTTAAATATCTTCTTCTCACCCCAGCTCCGGACAAATTTATTTTAGCAAATAAAAAAAAAATTATAATTATAAATATCTTTTTCTTTGTTTTCCTTTTTTTTTTTTTTTCAGCCCAGGAAAGCTGCTTCATTGGCATTTGCTGAAGCAGAACAGAAAAAAAAAGTATAGAATTTTGAATTTTCGGATAAACTTAAAAAAAAAAGATTTTGCTTTTATTTTTATTTTTATTTGATTGGTATTAAGGATTTGGTTGTGGGAGTGATGGGGAAGGTGGCAGTGGGAGCGGCGGTGGTGGGAGCGGCGGCGGTGTGTGCCGGGGCGGCGTTGTTGGTGCGTCACAGGATGAAGAATTCGGGGAAGTGGGCCCGGGCGCTGGCTATCCTCAAAGAGTTCGAGGAAAAGTGTGGGTCCCCAATTTCGAAACTGAAACAGGTGGCGGATGCTATGACCGTTGAGATGCATGCGGGGCTCGCATCAGAAGGTGGCAGTAAGCTCAAGATGATCATCAGCTATGTGGATAATCTCCCCACTGGGTAAATTAACAAATCAACTCAAATGAACCAACTTTTTTCCCTTACAAGTTCAGTTTCCAATACTTTGAAACTTTTTGTTTCCTTTAAATGATTCAATCATAGAAAGGTTGATTGGATAAAGATGGTCCGTTGATTGATTATCTCTGATTATAAGCTTTATTTTTTAAAATTTTGGTAGAAAAGTTTAATTCATGATTGAAATTTAACTAAATTATGTGATGAAGAAGCTTTAGAACTTAAAAGTTGGTGGCTTTAGTGGTACACTGTGGTCCATCTAAATTTGCTGTTAATGAGATTAATTAAATGTCTCGAATCGAACCTTCTATACCCAAAAGATAAAATTTTTTGTAGTTTCGAATTTTACTTTGGGTAATTGATGTGTTGGATTCCACTTTGTGATACCTTTTTTGTGTTAACTTTATATTTATTCATTCTTAAGAACTTTATGCTTTTGTTCTTGCATTAAAGTCGATTTATCGGTTACGTTTGTGGAGAAACTATTTGTTTACTGATTCTTATTTACCTTTCTTTTTTCCCTATCAGTGTCAACCTTTTGCTTTCATTTCATGGGATAAATAATTTATGTTTTGATGTATAGATTACGTCTAAAGCTTTGCTACGTTTAGTGTATTTCTGGTCCTTGACTATAGGTGCTTTATTTACTGCTTTTGTTAGAGCTTTTATAATGAAAATTCTCTTGCCTATGGTTACTTCTATATTGACTTTGTTTTACGACGATTTGCTGCTGTTGAAGTTGAACGGTTTTCTGAGAGAATATTAAAGTTGAGTGGAATGTCATGTCAAGTTTTTGATGGATAAGCAATCCGAATTTCTCTTGTGTATTGATTGATTAGAGTTTATTAAATTTGTACTATCCATGTGAGATGTTTCTGTCATGTGATATTGCTATTTTCTGATCTGTGAGAGTGAGTTTTTTGTTCTATATATCGAGCACTAATTTTGCTTGTTGTCTACAATGTCTTGATTTTCCAATTTACTTTTGGTTTGAGGAATATTTGGTTCGATATCATTTTAACATTTAATTAAGTTCTGGTATAAAATTAATTTCTCATAAGACATACTCATACCAGTTTACTTTAGTGAGGATTTTTTTCTTTAATTTTTTTATTATGCTAATGGGTGATGAGATATGATATGCCAGAGAAAAATGCTTTCTTGGCTTGCTGCTGAACATATGTATAGCTAGTAGGTCATAATAGGGAAAGAGTTTACCTTTTCTTGGGAGGGAGGGGGGACATGTGAGCGGTAGCCTTCTATTATGAAAGAAAAGGATGATTGGTAAATATGACTTTACAAATAAACTTTCGTTTTACATTTGATTGCGTCATAAACTATCTTATCAACATTTCTAGATAAAAAAAGTGGCAATTCTAATCAATGGATTCCTTAAAACATAATTTACAACAAGGAAAAGAAGTTACTCAACTGTAGTAAAATTTTGCATGGTGTGAAATATCCTAGTTTCCTAGAGTTTTACATTGGTTGAAAGCTCAACTAAGTATTTGTCATATTTTCATGTTTAACTTTCCAGTGATGAGAAAGGGCTGTTTTATGCCCTGGACCTTGGTGGCACAAATTTCCGTGTCCTACGTGTACAGTTGGGTGGTAAAGAAAGCCGTGTTGTTAAGCAGGAATTTGAGGAAGTTTCAATTCCTCCACATTTGATGACTGGATCTTCAGATGTGAGGCCCTTCTCCATGCAACCTAGCAATATTTAATCCTGCCTGTGTTTGTTCTTTTTCTGAAATTCTCTATATGATGTGATTGCAGGCATTATTTGATTACATTGCTGCAGCTCTTGCAAAATTTGTTGCTACAGAAAGTGAAGGTTTACATGTTTCACCTGGTAGACAAAGGGAGCTGGGGTTTACTTTCTCATTTCCTGTTAGGCAAACATCGATATCATCAGGGGCTCTTATAAAATGGACAAAGGGTTTCTCAATAGATGACACAGTTAATTCTAATAACCTTGACTCCGAGTCTGCAGCCTTGTATGGTAGTTTGTTATATGGTCATTAATTTTCTTTCTGTTCCATTGTCCACATTTTGTGGAATTAGGACTTCGTTCCTGCCATTATTATTCTATTTTTTTCTTTCCAAAGTCTATGGCATGCTGACCTTGTTTTTCCCCACTTCTTAGAATCTTAACATTTTGTGCTTATGGGCTATGTTTAGACCCTGGAACTAAGTTGGTGAAGCGATGTGTTCAAATAAGTCCTTTAGAATCTGGCCTGGCATGTAATCTCTGATTAATTACTTAATTTGTAGCAACAGTTCAATTTATAGACATTTAACTTTTTTATGATCAACCTGAGAGGACAAGTTCTTCTTATAGATGGTCTGGGAAGCATGCATGTGACATTCAGAATTTCATATTGTAATGATTTTATGCTATATTATCTGGTATGATCTTAATGTTTCTCCTGGGTGGTATGTGTAGGTTGGTCAAGATGTTGTAGGAGAATTGACCAAAGCGATGGAAAGGGTTGGCCTTGACATGCGTGTGGCTGCTTTGGTGAGTAATTTGTTTCTGCTGTTCAGTGTGTTGCATTTTCTCTTCACTGGATGGGATCTGGTGCTTCTACTTGGATAATGTTTTTAGTTGGTAATCCAAATTCTCTTGCGGAATATGCAGGTCAATGATACAATTGGTACATTGGCTGGTGGTAGATACAATAACCCAGATGTTGTAGCTGCTGTGATATTGGGTACAGGCACAAATGCAGCTTATGTAGAGCGTGCCCATGCAATTCCCAAATGGCACGGTCTTTTACCTAAATCAGGGGATATGGTAGGTAGTGTTAAGATATATGTTCTCTACTTCTTCTAATATCTGATCAAATATATGACCAACCTTGTTATGCTAAACTTCTACCCTGTTTTTGTGTCAGATGCACTTGTGATTCTTATTAGGCAACTTAGCTATTACTATGAGTCAAGAGTTCTGAAACCTTTTCCTCATTTCTGCAGGTTATCAACATGGAGTGGGGTAACTTTCGGTCTTCACACCTTCCACTAACAGAATATGACCAAGCACTGGATGTTGAGAGTCTAAACCCTGGAGAGCAGGTCACTTTTTTCAGTCCAAATTTATAGTTCCAACTTACTAATTTTTTATAAGCTAGATGTAACTTTATTAGCTACTGTTTCCAGATTTTTGAAAAAATTATTTCTGGTATGTATTTGGGAGAGATTGTACGTAGAGTTTTGTGCAAGATGGCTGAAGAAGCTGCATTTTTTGGTGATACTGTTCCACCAAAGTTGAAAATTCCTTTCATACTCAGGTATCCTTTATTATGTTCCCCAGTTAAAATTCACTCATTGTGTAGAGTACTGTAATTTTTCCATATGTCATATTTTGCAATGGGACTTAGATGCATGTAGCTATCTTAGAATCTCATGGCTCCTTCAATGTGCAGCCTTTGGTTGCAAACTCATCATTTATTGACCCCGAGGCCCTAGCACTTGATATTAACCCTTAACAATGCTCACATTGGAAGGATAACAACTTGTGGAGCCTTAACCCAACTCAATAATAATCTGATCTAATCTAGATTGGTCTAATGATTTGTTTAGTTACAGAATTTAGGCAGTTGATATGTGTTGGACTATGGTACTTGTTTAAGTATGTTCAATTTGAATCCGTAAGATAATTGTTTTTCCAATATTTAATTTAGCAGTCTTTGGTTTTGGGCCTGACGAGTGCTTGGAGAGTTGTTTAACATTTATCTGTTAAATCTGCAGAACTCCTCACATGTCTGCAATGCATCATGACACATCTCCGGATCTGAAAGTGGTTGGGACCAAATTAAAGGATATCTTAGAGGTAGAATATGTTAGATGTTTGCTGTATGAATGTATAATTTTCTGTAAATCCTTTTGGCCGCTTTCCTTTTCTGCCTCTGAATGCTTCTGTTTGGAAATAAAACAACAATAATAACAAGAAGGAATTTAACTTCAACTGCAAAACCTCCCTTTAACAGATATTTATTGAGTTTCTTGAAGAAAAGTAGTTTTACATGAGATTTAATGAGATTTTATCACGTGAATTCACTGCTTTAATAGGTTTTATTGTGTTTATGTTGTCTCTTCTTTGTTTTATTTCAGATATTCAATACCTCCCTGAAAATGAGAAAAGTTATTGTTGAGCTATGCGATATTGTTGCTACTCGTGGTGCCCGCCTATCTGCTGCAGGAATCGTAGGCATCCTCAAGAAATTAGGAAGAGACACAGTGAAAGATGGTGAAAAGCAGAAGTCGGTGGTAGCTCTAGATGGTGGGTTGTATGAGCACTACACTAAATTCAGGACCTGCATGGAGAACACCCTCGAGGAGTTGTTAGGAAAAGAAGTCTCCAAGAACATAGTCATTGAGCACTCCAATGATGGCTCTGGCATTGGGGCAGCCCTCCTGGCAGCCTCTCACTCCCAGTACCTTGAGTTTGAGGAGTCCTGAAGATGGTTGAAGTATAGGGAGATTAAAGAATCATAACTGTTGGGATTTTTTGTATATTATCAGCTTTTGTGTTCTTATTGCAACCCATTCAGAACTAAGAGCTCTTTGCATCTCCTGATCCAAGAGTTCATGCCAGCAAATCCTTAAGTTATGGTCATTCGGAGCGTATAATTGAGCAATGGATCAAATGTAATGAGTGCCCGATAGTAGCCAGAAGTTTCATTGCTGCAACTTGTCACTCAGCTCCATTCACAGTGTCGGAGGATTATACTGGTACACCCATGTATAAGTTCTCATCTCCTGAATTATAAGGTAATAAGATAGGGGTATGTAAACTCCTCTTTCGAGTTTTTGATCTCTTCTCATTTAGAATAAAAAAGTAATCTTACAGGTCATATGCCCATTGTTTTGTTTGAATTGTTTGTTCTAGCTGAATTTAGTCTGTGATTAATAAAATGGTTTACTAGACAGTTAGAGTTGGCAGCCTTAGCTCTCATTTCGCTCCTTCCCTGTCATCGGCAAACCGATTAGACTGGATCCAGGCTCCCAGCTCCCTTATATTAATAATAGGATTTGCAAAAATAGTGGTGCTTTCATGATAATGGAACTCAAGGATGGAAGCACATGCACCATTGTTAGGGCATAGCTACAATTATCTTAGAATTCCAGGTAAACTATACATAGTGGGAGAAAAGTAAAAGGAAATCCTCCCACTTTTTAGAAACTATACATATGCCAGGTAAATTATACCTAGAATAAGTAGTTTTTATTTTGAAGTTAGAAGGAAAAGGTCCAAAACAAAATTAGTTACATGTTAGCCAAATTAGACCAAATTAGACCCTATGTTACTTTGAGGTAGACAGGAGGATAAAGGTGAAAAGAATCTCAAATTTCATAAAGCCATAAACAATAAGAACCAAAAATTTATTGGTCAAATTGATTTGATCAGACCAAAAAATAAAAAATTTATAGGTGAAATTAATGTTTTAACTTAAATCTTGAAGCCAGATTTTGCAATTCACCCTCAGTTGAAGTCAGACCAAAGTGCTCCCATTCTTCTTTCGAAAATAGAGTTGCGGAATTTGTTCTTCCTATAAATACATAGGAAGAAGACCACTATGGTCTAAGATTTGCAGAACATCCTTCGTTTGCCCTGACAAAGAAACATATCATTGAGCTAAGTCATCCTCATTTAGTGGCCAGCTTTGACCTAGAAGCTTAATCAACATTGGAAAGTGCATCCAATCTGAATCTAACCTCTCAGCTATAGCAGAAAGCATCGTTGTGTCACGGGTCGAGATTTAAGTTTCGAATCAGCGCGACTCCGGGATCAGAGCATCCACTCATCCGGCGTCTCAAATCAGTTTAACCGTCACGGTTCACATCCTTGTGAGGTATTGTCCGGACCTCTACTCATCCAACTTCTCAGATCAGTATAATCGTCACGGTTCACACCCTTGTGAGGGATTGTTGTCCGGGCATCCACTCATCCGACGTCTCAGATCAGTTTAACTGTCACGGTTCACACCCTTATGAGGTATTATCCGCTCTGGTCCTCTTGGCCTCACGATTTTGTCCTACAAAAGGCCTCACACAATGAAGAGATGGGGTGAACCCTTATATACCTTAGTGACCCTTCTATTATACCCTTGTGAGGTATTGTCCGCTCTGGTACTCCTGGCTTCATGGTTTTGTCCTACAAAAGGTCTCTCACAAGGAAGAGATAGGAAGAGATGGTGTGAACCCCTACAAAAGGTCTCTCACAAGGAAGAGATAGGAAGAGATGGTGTGAACCTTTATATACTCTAGTGACCCTCCTATTATGTTCGATGTAGGATTCAGGACTCTTCTTTAGGTCCATGACATTCTTCCTCACCCAATCTCGTCCTTGTCACGGAAGCTGACCATCCTACCTACCTCCCTCAAGGTGCTTGGCGTGAATCGAACGGGTATAGGGTTGGCTCTGATACCACTTGTCACGGGCCGAGATTTAAGCTTCGAACTCGTGCGGTTCGAGATCCCCGCATCCACTCATCCGGCGTTTCAAATCAGTCTAACCGTTACAGTTCACACTCTTGTGAGGTATTATCCGTTTTGGCCTCTCTGACCTCACAATTTTATCCTATAAAAGATGTCTCACAAGGAAGAGATGGTGTGAACCTTTATATATCTCTTATTATGTTCGATGTGGGATTCAGGACACTTCCTTAAATTCGTGACAGCTGCAGCTTTCGATGAATTATATAAATGTGCTCCATGCTATCCTGAGTATAAACTCATTTAGGCTTTGCTTAATTGGAAGGATGGAAAGAGATAAAAATGAAAAATTTTATCAAATGTTTAAGCTACAAAGTAGGAAAGTTGTTATGAATTTTAACTATTAGTTTAACAAGTTGTTCATTCTCACCTCTTCCCATCATTCCTATCAAGAAAAGTCTTGGAGATTTGCCTTTCAGCTTCAGTTTTGCCCAACGAAATTCATCAGACCATTCCCCAGTCCTGTCAATGGATGTGAACAATTCAGCAATCTTGACCAAACTTGGTTAGATAAATGCAAGCAAAAACCAAATGATCTCCGGTTTCCATGGACAGGTAATAAAGCAGACGGCTGCTCCTAGGAAGAGAGATACCTTCTCTAACGTAATGGCCAAGCCCTTTTCATATTCTCATCTCCATTGTTTGCTTTCATTCCTGTCATTAGCACCAAAATCATAATTGTGACAGCTGTAAATATAAATTTGCACTTTAAGGGAAGCGCTTTGGTTCTAACCACTGGAACTCTGTAGTCCAAGTGTGCTCAGCTGGTCACAACAATGCAATGAGGGTGACCTACGAGAAACTTTTTCTTCTCATGAAGACCTACAGGAAGCTTATCACCGAAAATTTTACAAATAAATCAACAAGAATTTTGAGAAAAAAAGTTGCGCAAGTTACCTTGGATTCATGCCACACCAAATCAACATCATTTTCAAATTCTGGAATCTGAGTCATTTTCAGCATTCTTGTACTCATAATTACAAGAATGCCTGCTTTGGACTAGCATTTGCAGAACTTTCCTCATGCAAGGTCTTCTTGAAGGTAATGTTGTGGTACATTGGATTCCAACTTTAAAGACATTGTACATTTGATCCAAGTAACAATCTTCCTTGATCTCCTCATCTAATGCGTCCACTATTGAGTTGTCATCCTGAAAGTAATGCTGAGCCCACTCTGCAAGCGATCTGTTCTCATCTCCATGGTTAGCTTCTCTTCCTGTCGTTAGCTCCAAAAGAACTACTCCAAAGCTATAAACATCAATCTTCTCATTTATTCTTGTTGTCCGAGCGTATTCTACAAGTCAATTTAAAATACATATTGGTAACTTCAAACCAAATCAACATTTGTACTCACAAAACTTAAAACTTTTTACTCTTAAACCTTAAAAAAACCCAAAACCCGTTATACCCAACATTGCTCTCTTCGTTCCTTAGGTTTCTTTTCACTAATTCTTCTCAATCTCTACATTGTAAAACTCAAAATCCTAACATTTGTCTCATAAACCTCACAGGTGTATACTTCTCTCACTTGATTGCCTACGAAAAGCCGTTATTGATCCATAGATTTCTTGTCTATTAAGCAAACTTATCGACAAATAAAAATGCTATGCTAAATGGAATTTGAGTCAAAATTATAAACACATGGAACATTTAAATGAAACCTTTTCTAGAGGGGTGGAGGAACATAACATAAAGATGTCTATGAATTTTGTACCATTACTCACCGGGAGCTATGTAGCCACAGGAGCCAGCAACAGCAGAAACTGTTATAGTTTCTTCTCCTTGCTTGCTTGATAGCTTAGCAAGACCAAAATCAGCAATTTTAGCATTGAACTCAGAATCTAATAAAATGTTGCTGGATTTCACATCTCGGTGAATAATGGGTGGTGAGCAGTCATGATGCATGTAGCAGAGTCCCTGGGCAGCCCCAATTGCAACATGCAACCTCCTAGGCCAATCTAGGATAACATTTTTTGTTGAACTAGAAACAGTTGCTGCTTGATGCTTATGGAGCCAAAGGTCTAGGCTACGATTTTCCACATATTCATAAACCAAAACATTTTTAGTCTCACTTGAAAGACAACATATCAACTTTACTACGTTCAAATGTCTAATTCTACCCAATATCCCAACTTCAGCCCGAAATTGTGTTTCAAGTGTGTGCTCCAGCTTTTTATTATTCGAAATGACTTTAGCAGCAACAACGCTGTCCGAACAAATTAAATCAACACGGTATACATTTCCTGATCCTCCACTTCCAATCTTGTTTTCTTCTATCAATTCTGGCAAAATTTGTGCTTCTGTAAACGTTATATCTTCGAAACGGGTGTACTCCCATTTTGGCTCCGATCCATGCCTCGGTTGCTTTCTCTTCGGACAAAGCTTAATCATGAAAAATGAAAAAGCCAAAATCAAGACAAATAATCCTATCGCAGAACCTGAAATCCTGGCAGTATTTTGTGGAGAATGTATGCTAGATTTTTTAGGTGAACGACAGTTTTCAAGGTTTATGTGTGGAGAACTAGCACAGAGACCAGGATTGTTAAGGAAACTATTGGAATATGCAGTATTTTCAAACTGCTTTGGGATACTGCCAATGAGAAGATTTGAAGAAAGGTTGAGCAAAGTGAGCCTCAGAAGGCCAAGGTTAGGAGGAATTAGGCCAGAAATTTGGTTTCTCGACAAATCTAATTCAAGAAGGCTTGGTAGGAAACCAATCTCCTCTGGAATTGGTCCAGAAAGTTTATTTTGACTAAGATTTAGAGAATTAAGCGACCTCCATGAGATTATAGCTGACGGAAGGAAGCCATGTAGTTGGTTTTGATCAAGCAAAAGAGTAGTAAGAAAGGGAAGAGCTGTCAATGCTGTAGGAATTGTACCGTTAAGGAGGTTATTACTAGCCTTGAATACAACTAGGCTCTTCCATGAGTTCACCTCATCGGGAATTTGTCCAAAAAACTTGTTGCTACTGATCTCAAGTCGAGAAAGAGATTGTGAGACTTTTTTGGGAAGCTCACCTGTAAAATTGTTATCACTTATCATCAACATTTGTAAGTTCAACGATATCCATAGACCACTAGGAATGCTCCCTTTAAGACCATTACCGCTGATATCGACAATTGTTAAGCTGCCACAATTACCAAGTGATTTTGGCAATTCGCCTGTGAGATTGTTATCAAAAGCAACAACTCCTAGCAACTTACCTCCATAGCATAAATGTTCAGGCAACTTCCCTGTAAGCTTGTTAGAAGAAACCTCGAACCTCTCGAGCATTGAATATCGACCAAAATCTGGAGGCAGAGTGCCTGACAAGTTGTTGCCGAACAATCTAACATCTGTTAGTGTTGAGATTCGTCCAATGCTTTCTGGAATTTCACCTGACAGTTGATTGAAAAACAGAACTAAACCCGATAACCCTTCTAGTTTCCCAACATCACTTGGGATTCTTCCATTCAGGTTGTTTCCAGAAAGATCCATTGCTGTCAGGTTGGAAGCTTCAATTACTTGAGGAATCTCTCCGGATAAGTTGTTGCTGAAAAGATAGATCTCCTTCAAATTCCTTAACAAGAATAAAGAAGTTGGGATTTTTCCCCTTAGTTCATTGCTAGATAAATCCAATACCTCGAGAGCTGTCATATCTCCAACCATGTCGGGGATTTCACCAATTAAATTTGCTTCACTCATCCATAATGTCCTCAGCTTCTTCAGTTGCTTGAAACTGGAAGGCAACTTGGCTGGCTGGAATTTCCTATTATATGCCAATCCCAAAAAGTCAAGTTTAGACAAGTTGCCAATTTCTGTGGGGAAAGAACCATTGAACTGGTTTACACAAAGCAGAAGACTCTTTAGCTCTTGTAACCTTCCAATGGATGCTGGAATGTGACCAGAAAAATTATTAGCCATAAGGTTCAAGTACTGGAGCTGACCTAGGCTGACAATGTCATCAGGGATAGTGCCAACAAAATAGTTTTGAGAGAGGTCCAGGTACTCAAGTTTGGAACAATTATAAAGTGTTTTTGGAAATTCACCTGGGATGTTGTTGTAATTAAGATCAATGACTTTAAGGTTCTGGAGGTCACAAATGAATGATGGGATTGTTTTGTTGATGGTCTTGTTTTTGAGAGATAACTCGACAACAGAGTTGTTGAGGCAGGTAATTTCAGGCCAGCTACAATGGGAGGAAGAGTTTAATGATTGTGCCAAATGGCTGATGGACGGCGGGTTCTGCCAGTATGTTTTTAGTTTAAGTAAGACGGCTTGTTCTTGGTCAGCATGTGATTGGGAGTTTACTTGGCTAAGGCTTAGAGCAAGGAGGAGGAGCTTAAAGTGAATATGGGAGAATGTCCGGGCTAATTTAGACATTTTAGTGACGGGACCAAGGATCTTTTCTGAACAATAGATAAATTTGCTTCAATCTCAAGAAAACGATGAAATTTATAGTGTTTGCAGGGAATACCTCAAGCATTGACTCACCGTATCAAAAGTCAATACTTTTTCCTCGGGAACTTTGGAAACCTATAAGATAAACTCCAAAGAAAAACATTAACATGCGAAAACAAAAGATGAACTTGTTTAAGTCTTTAACCAGTATCACTGTAACTTCCTTAAAACAACCTTGGTTAATAATCAATGATCAAACTTCTTCGCTTAGAAAAAAAAAGAAAAAAAAAGCCTAGAGACAAGCCAAAGCAAAAGGCCAACATAGATAGGATTAGTTGGTAAAATTAGAATATTTCGATTTTAAGGTATAGGTTTGAGTGTCTCTATTAGCGATTCCTTTTAGTAAGAGATTTATAGTTTTTTAATGGACGATATGTAAATTTAATATAAATTTTTTCAAAAATTTACAATTTATTTTAATCATGAAATAAAAAATCTCCCCACACCCTAAACTTATACCTAATGAAAAGCTAATCTATCAATGTTGCAGTTTGCTTTTTAACTAATTATAAATTTCGTTTTTGATGTATCAGTCGAAACGCTGCAAATTTAAGAAACTTTTTGTACCAATAATAATATCGGACAATTACGGTTGATTTTGGATGTTTCGGATAATTCTGGGTTGTTTCGAGAAACTTATTGATTTCGACTGGTAGAAGGTTTGCTCGTCACCAACCTTACTTTAACATATCTTCTTCAACTTTTATCATGTTCTTTTTTTTTTTTTCTGCACTTTATTTTCTCACTACCGTACCGAAAGTTTCAAAAGCCAAACTGCAGAATCTCTTCAAAAAAAATAAAATTTTAAGGGTATTATAAAAGAAAAGAAAAAAAATCTAGAAAATAAGTTAAAATTTAACAATTGGCACCGGAGATTTTGAGTCTCGGCTAAGAAGAAAAGAAACAAATGGTCATTGGGCGATGAAAAATGAAAGACAAAGGAAGAGGTGTTGCTCGATGGAGAGCGGCGGTGGAAACCAAGAAAAGACCAAAGGAAGAAGAAGGGGACAGAATTGAAGTAGGGGTAGGTGAGGCGGCTAGAAAGAAAAATGGAAGAGAATGGTTTCTTTGTAAATCTAGGTATAGGAGTGTAATATTAAAGAATAAACCTATCTCAAAATGATGGATGTTAGTTGAGGTTAAATAATTTACTAAGAAGTTTTAATTTTTTTAAATAAATTGATAAATCTATTTATTTATTTTTAGTTTTAAATTTTTGGTAATAAAAATATGATAATATATGATTTTGTTTGTTATAATTTGGTGTTTATATATATGTTACATATTAAATTTTTTTAATTGATATTTAAGGAGATTTAGATTGTTAAATGATATAAATCTTAATTTTTTATTGTATTATTAGTGATATTCATATAGATTTAAATATACTTATAAGTATTTGTATATTTCATATCAAAAAATCTGAAATAATAAATTGAAATAAATGATATTGATATATATCAATTTTTTTAAAAAAACCAAATATTATTCTGCATGGTATTAACAACATTGGTTTTTATTGTAAAATTCACGTTGCCGATTCCTTTTTTGCTTTTTTTTTTCTTTTCTTTTCTTTTATCGTGGATCCCTTCTACATTTTTTTTCAAAGGGTTTGGGACTCACATTTTTTTTTATTTTAAAGGTGTGGGATCCAATATTTTTAATAAGTTGCTTTGGTTTTTTTTTTTTATGGTGGGTACTACCTATTTTTAAAAAAAATTTTAAATGGGTGTTTTTAAAGTGTATAGTTTTTTCAATTGATTTTTTTTTTAATTTGTAGACCCATTTTTTTTTATTTTAAAAAGATGCAAGGGTTCACATTTTTAAATTTATCTTTTTTTATCATTTTTTAACTTCTCTTTTTTTATTATATTTAATATTTTAAATATATATTTAAAAAAATATTTTTATGGGACTCTCTTAAACCTATTTAAATATCAGTTACACATCTAAACCTAAAGGCTCACTCAAATTTTAAGAGAATTTGGACAAAAAATTAAAATATGTTAAATGGGTTTGAACATAATTTTTCGTTTAAATTTTGGATCATGTCTTTGACAAAATATTTCAAATTTGAATTCGACCTAGCCATAATTCACATATAAATAATTTTTTTTACTTTTATACATATTTGAATTATATATACAACTTAATTCACATATATATAAATTAAAAATAAAAATTATATATTTTATTAAACTTAAATTTTATTTTTATTTTGTATATATATAATTTTTATTTCTAATTTTTATATGTATGTGAATTAAATATAATCTTATTAAACTTAATTTAATCATATTTTTTAATTTTTTATTATATAAGTTAAGTTTAATGAGTAAGTTTGAATTTTTTTTTTTTAATTTGAGCCGGGCTTAAAAAAATCTTAAGTCTCGAAATTTCGAGTTCGGACTGAGCAAGTATATAAGTTATTAATAACAAGCATGAACCCGAGCCTAGGCCAGCCCATAAACACCTCTAGACTCACTTATATCAAAATTTTTTCTTTTTTTATTTTTTTTTATTTTTTCAATATTTTTTTCATCTTAATTTTATTTTGAAACTCATTTGCTATTAAGGATTTTTTTATTTTTTACATAATTGAAAAATAATTTTTGATTTAAAATTTTTTGTTAAACCCACTTTTTATCGATGATATACAACATATCAAGTCATTTTTTTTAATTTTTTCCTATTAACTTTTTTTAATATTTAAGTTTTTTATATTTTGATTTTTTAATATGGGTCGCTTGATATTATTATTAAATATATTTTTTATTTTTTATTTTTTTATTTGATCATTTTTTAAGAAAATTATATTAATGAATATGATTGCTTCACATCCGAATTTGATTTTTTTTTATTTTTTAAGTCATAATATAAATTTTTTTTATAAATGGTCATTATTATTGATGTCACGTGAAAATTTAATTTTCTTAAAAATGATCATAATGTCGTTTTAATTACTTAATAATTGAATTATATACATCTAAATTAACTGTGATGCCTCTTTTCTATGATTAATTAAAATCATTATAATGCAACTCTTGACATAATTATTGAAATACCATTCTTATCATAATTGATCAAAATTACTATAATGTGCCTCTTACTATATTTACAAAAAATCTCTTATATTATAATTTATCAAAATTACTATAATACTCTTTACACATAATTACAAAAATGCCTTATCATTATAATTATGAAAATATCTTCATATTATAATTGGCTAAAATTACTATAATCCTCTCTAAGTATAATTATGAAAATACGCTTCCTATTGCTTCATAATTACTCATCCAATATAGTAATGCATGAAATTATCGTAATGCCCTTTTAATTATTTCATGTAATCCCTTTAGAAATGATCATAATACCCTTTCAATTATTTAACAATTGAATTACATCCATATAAATTGATTCTAATGTCCTTTTTTCTATGATTAATTAAAATTATTATATTACCACTATTAACATAATTACTTAAATATCCCTCTTACCATAATTGGTTAGTGTTACTCTAATGCCCCTATGACCATAATTATGAAATATCTTTCTATCATAATGACGTAAATCCCCTCATATTATGATTTGTCAAAATTACTTTAATACCTTCTGACCATGATTATGAAAATGCCATCTTACAATAATTATAAAATACTCCCTCATGTTATAATTGATTTAAATTAATATAATATCTTTTAACTGTAATTACAAAAAATATCCTTTTGATTGCTTCATATAATGCATCTCCTATTATAATTACAAAAATACCCCTCATATGACAATTTACTAAAATTACTGTAATATCCTCTTACCATAATTATAAAATATAATTTTATTACATTTATAATTATGTATTAAATTTTAATATTCATACAATTATATAAAAGTAATTCCTTTGGAAATAATCATAATTACAAAAATTTCCTATTACAATCATTGCCTAAAATTACTGTAATGCTTCTCCTATAATATTAAAATTATTAATTTTTTCCTTAACAAATTAAGTTGAACGAGTGATGATATTAGTGAGTTTTGATTCCATGGATAAATATGTATGAAATTGATAATTGATCAATGTAAAAAGTAAATATTATCTCAGTAGGTTGGATTATCATATATATATATATATATATTATTAAATTTTGATTTAATTTATATATATTTTTTAAATTAGTCTCCCTTATTTAAAATAAAAGTCGATACCTATCTAATAATAATTAAGTGAAACAATTCGAGCATCAATATTTTTATTTTATTCAAAAATTATAAAAATAACAATAAAATACTAAAAAGTATTTATTTTATATTATCAAATAAAAAAATTATATAATTTATATTTCACCCAAATAAAAAAAATTATAACCTTGGAGTAGCCAAGTAGTTTTGCTAGTTAACAGATAAAAACAAAATATGGACTTGTTTAAGTCTTTAACTAGTATCATTGTAACTTATTTAAAATAACCTTGGTTAATAATCAACGATCAAACTTCTTTCCTGAAAAAAAAAATTAAAAAAAAGATCTCGAGACAAACCAAAATTAATATATCAAGGCCGACATATGTTAGATGAATTGGTAAGATTAGAATATTTTACTTGTAAAGTTTAAATTCAAAAGTCACTGTTAGTAGTCCCCTTTAGTAAGCGATCAACAATTTTTTAATAAATGATTTATAAATTTAATATAAATATTTTTTAAAGCATATGATCTGTTTTAATCATGAAATAAAAAACCATTTCCACACCCTAAACTTTTACGTGAAAAATAAAATAAAAGCTAATATATCAAGATGTTATATGCTCAACATGATGCCATCTCACACAACTCGCTCAAATCCCTTAAAGGTTCTTCCGGAGTTAGCTTAAAATATCGACTCTAAAACATCAACAACCCTCACCTTACAACATCCAAAAACTCTATTCCATTATTATGGATAAAACATTCTAATCCCAAATATACAAAGCCAAAGTATCCCCCAATCAAAAGAACAACACTAATAAATTTGCATTTTTTCCCTTTTTTATGTTTTTCGCTTTTTTTTTATTAAAATCCTTTTATAAAAAAATAATAAAGGTGTTTACACGGCATTGTTTGCCTTTTTTTTCATTTTTTTTTATTAATTAAATAAATTTTGTAACGAAATATATCAATTGATAAAGATACTAGAATAATTCATATCTAATTAATTTTGATCTATCTCGATTAAAATTAGAAAGCAAATGAAAAGTCAATAAAAATTGATTGATTTAATAAAGTATGAATATTTCACTAGCATAATTCATGTTTGAATCTTTTTACCAGCAATCTCTCTTACTAAAGTATAAATGACATTCAGTCTACCTTGACCCTAAACCAAAAAATGTTCTCCTCACTTTAATATTTTTCTTGCAAAAAGATGGGGTGTAAACGTCAAGCGCCGAAAGCTTAGGTCTACCTACCGTGCGACGCATTAAGCACGGTAGTTAGGCTTAAGCTTTCAAGCATCAAGCATTAAATATGTTAATTTTATTTATATTTAATAAAAATTTAATTTTTTATTTAAATAAAAAAATATATTATATTATGATAATAGAAATGAAAATAAAAATAGATATGATTTAAATTTTTATTAGATATAAGATTGAGATGAATAATATAATATTTATTTCGTGAATAGATGTTTTTTATTAAATAATATAAATTATTATTTTAAATTAATTAAAATTAATATATTTTTATTAAAAATATATATTTATATTTATAAAAAATTACCTAAGATAAAAATAAATAATTAAAAAATAATTTTTAATTTTTTTAAAAAATATAAATATGAATTATTTATATTTATTAAATATCTGAAAAATAAAATATGAATAAATTTAAAATATTTTTGAAATATGAATAAAATATAAACATAATATAAATTTAAAAAATAAAAATAAAAAGTATGGTATCTTTTTCGTACCTAAACTGACATCCTGTCGGCCATGACCATAAGGATAGAAATTTGGGATCCAAACAAAATTGTTCACTTCGATTGACACATACAGTATGGACTTATAGCGCGTCAAAGGGGTTCTGCGTGTTAATGGGTTCGGCATGTTTCTTTCTACGAGTGATTGAAATTTGAAAACATCCATTTCCATTTTA